CTTTATTTCGGTTTGCTCCTTCACCGAGGAGCGCTTTCCTGTTGCGTTCGATTTGAAGGTGGTAGCGGCGGTGGCGGTTCCGCGGGTATCCGCGCGGGGCGCTCACGGGGATTTAATTTGTGTTCGTTCTCCGTTCACCCGCCGCCCCCAAAAAGCGCATTTGTCGACATTCAAATCGCTTTGCCGAGCGTCAAACGGGCAGGAGGTCCCCCTCACGATGGAGGCGAAGAGTCGCCGCCGCATTATCCGAGCGACGCCGCGAGCAGCACTCGGGACGAACAAACTTGGCAGCTCAAGTGGCGAACCTTGCAACAACAACAACAACAACAAAAACCCTCAAGCAGGCAAATGGTGGTTCATTTGCCTGCCACAAATGAACCACAATACCTTTCCGATCTTGTCAAGGGACATAAACCACTTCCTCATATCGGAAGGAAGGGAGTTCCAGACGGCAGCAGAAGCGCATCTGAAAGCGCGAGATGCCGTGGCCGTCTTTGTTCGACGGTTAGCTGAAAGCCACTGCGAGGATGATTGATAATGATTGGAATGATGATGGTGCTGGGAGGTTTTGTGTGAAAACCGTCCGTGATCCGGCTGAGACCATAACCCCACCGCACTTGGGAACACGCTCTCGTCGCGGGCGGCTCAATCCCCAAATCGAAATCCAACGGAGGCGGATCTAGACACCTCCCGCGGAGCGTGGGGGTGGTGGACCCTCATTGTAAAAGAAATATGCAGTGTCTTTTCTCTGATAAATAAAATATAAACTTTCACATCTCGAAGGGGGTGGGGGGGTGTTCGGGTGATGGGTATTCCTCCACCTTCACCCTCCCGCCCCCCTGGATGTGCCACTGGAATCCGGGATCTCCGCAGTGTCGGCTCGGCGCTCCCATTCAGAAAATTTCCCCATCGAGCCAGCCCCCCCCCCCCAGCCCCCCCAGCCCCCCCCCCCCCAGCCCCCCCCCAGCCCCCCAACCCCTTCACCGTCGCTCGGCGTGAGTGATGTGGGCCCTGTGAGAGCGCGCGGCGGCACCATCTGTAATTTAAGCAAAAGTGAAAATATCGACGACTTGCCGAGGCAATCCGTCTGATTGATTGAGAGGTTTGCTCCGGCTCCGATTCAAACTCCCCGCGTCTGCTTGGGCGCCTTGAGCCGACACCGTTTTGAGATTTGCTTCATTTCTTTTTGCTTGTCGCTCACCCGCGGGGGGAATGGTGACGTGCTCCGTCCACTTTATAGATACGTCCGGCACCTCTTCTAAAACTGAATTATTGAACTAGACTGTTTAATTTCATTATTTTATCAGTTAAGACCCACTGAGCTATGTAGCTCTTTGTCACGAACGACCTGGCCACAAATGATAGCTCAACCAAGTAGCCTCTAACGTGGAAAGTTATAGCAGCCAAATACTCTAAAGGTATGTTGTTGATTCTAAATGTTGAGGGAAAACCGGAGGACCCTGAGAAAAATTCACGCAACCACGGGGAGAACATTCAAACTTCAAATATATAGAAGGCATCAGAGTGGAACCCACGGCCTCCTGTATACCAGACGAGGTAGTTAACATCTCACCACCGTGGTACCCTTCACCCACGTGTCACCGCTCGTGCCGGCGTCTGCATCACAGGCAACAAAGTTAACGGCTTTTTCGGCCGTCCTCAATCCACACAAATTATTCCACTTGCAATTATGTTGCCTGCTCTTCTTTGGTTTGACTGATTGATGAATGGAGGTAATTTCAACCGGGGGTTGAAAACTCGTCGAAACTTCGAGCCTCTGTTTTCAAGGCATAGCTGAGTCAACAGGTGACGGACGATACATTGCATCATTCTACAGACCTGATGTGGAAAGCCAACATATATAAGAGATCAAAATCAGTTGCATGACTGATTTTAGGAACATTAATTCTCAAAAAAGTATAAGTAAAAAAATCGACAAAATAATGTTTGTCGGCCCTCTCTCCATCCACCGCTGGATGAAGGCCTCCCAATGGCGTGTCAGTCACGGGAATGATTTTACTACGCTTCGTCATGCTGCTCAGTGTGGGTCGCTGATTGGTGGGGGGGTAAACCCAGCACTGATGTTTGATGTGGCCAGGAATCGAACTCGGGTCGCCTGCTTTACAGCATGGTGCGCTAACCAATTACTATCCACGACTAATATCAGTGGCCAGGAATTGAACTCGGGTAAAATCGTGGCTACTGAGATTCGCGATGGCCCAAACATCATTGAACCCTGTGGCCAGGAATTGGTTTAAAAAAAAAACATGGCCAGAAATATACCCGAGTTCAATTCCTGGCCACGGCTAAAAACCATTGTCGAGTGATATCAGAACGAGTTCCACGCCTTCACCGCCGTGAGCGACGTGGCATGTGGACACGTTCTTCCGTCGGTGGATTGAGGATGGATGGACAAGAAGAGATCGTGGAATAAATACCGGTCCTGTGGCGAATGCCAGGGTTGGTGGCACAGCAGCGTTGTGGGGTGGTAGGCAGCATCATGGAGTGTCGTTCCTGTTCTCAACGGAGACCCCGGGTTAAAGCGCTGCAGAAAACGTGCAATGAAAAGTCATTTATAATCGTGTATAGAACCTGACGCAATTTGAGGATAATTAGGGATAATTAGTCACAATTAAATATTTACATTTTAATGGAGATTAATATTTTAGCAAAATGCATTTTATATGAGCTTGAGTACAAAGGCACATGGATTCGTACTGGCCAGGAAATGGGTCCAATTTCCCATTCAAAATCTGACATGAGAGGTGGGGGTGATTTTACAAGTCACAGAGAAGCATCATGGGACAGCACCACAACAATGTGATGTCAGGCAGCATTTAAATGCGATGGCATTTCAAGACGCTGCATGGACGCATTGGGCATCGTTATTTCATGAGAGAGGTGGTCAGTCAGAGGCAGCAGAACACAAAGGGAGGTCTTGAGTCTCGGCTTGAAAAGGGGCAAGGGACTCGACGGCACGAATGGCTGGGGGAAGGGAGATCCAGACTGTAGGGGCAGCGGAGGACAATGAGTGACGCCCTACCGAGCGAAGTTTAAGCGCGGGGCTTGGATAGAACGCATTGATGGTGGTGGGGTAAACCGTAGGTACCCTGCACTGGGTCGGATACCCAGGAAATATTTCCGCTTGGCACACCACATCCTACATACCTCTTCTCTCCGTAGCGATGGCCACTAACCACATTACACCGGCTCCAACCTACCGCCAGCAACTCGGATCACATTCGGCCAGAAAATTTTCCCCGCACACAAGGCCCCCCTGCGGTGGCGTGCGGTCACAACGAAGGCGCGAGCCGTCGGCGGGCTCCGAACTTCTAGATCAGTGCGGCCGTTGCACACGAGCCGGCCCACACCCCCGTGCGCCCTCACCACCAACACCACCAACACCACCAGCACCGCCGCCGCTCACCGCCGCTCACCGCCAACGCCTCCGCGCACCACCAGCGCCTTTATTATCAGCCCTCCGACTGATTAGTTCTCATCACAGATTAACTGTGCAGCTCATTAGGGCCAGCAGTGTTCCCAGGGATTAGCGGGATTTGAGGGCACACCAGGTTGCATGGTTTTTATTTCGCGGGACGGCCGGCCGTGATTTTATTTGTTGTCTTAATCCCGTGTGGTGCTGCCGAATTGGTGTCTCGGTGGCGAGGGACTTGCCCCCCCCCACCACCCACCCCCCCCCCCCACCACCCCCACCAGTCCCTCACCCCAGTGAGCCACTCTGCCGACCGCCCACTCGGGCGATGGGTCACGCGCGTTCTCCGAGTCGGTGGTGGAAATTCCACATTCCTCTGGCAGGGACTGGTTTCCGATAGACATCCGCTGGTTATATTCCCACAGTCACCATTGCCATAATCGACAGTATCAGAAGCAGCAGTAGCCATTATCTACCCACTGCTGGATGAAGGCCTCCCCAATCCATCCCATCTCTTATGGCCTTGCGATGCAATAATCCATCGCGCACCTGCAGATGATTTTATCGCTCCATCTCCGCTGCGGTGGTTCTAATGATGGGTACGTTTACCCTCCTTTGGCTCCCGCTCCAATATTAGTCTCCACCTCTGGCCATCATCCCTCCCAGCGATGTGTCCCACCCAAGGCCATATTGAATATGATGCCATTAGCGTATTTTGAACTTCTTTCTCACCGTACATAACCAACCGTGCTAACCAATGTTGTCTGCGTACGTTGTCTGATGCATACATTCCTCTCTTTCTGTCTCTCAATACCACGTTCTGAACCAACGCCGTATGCACAACAATGTCGAGACGATATGTCGTAAATCGCAATAATATTTAGCTGATTTTTGTTATTGCCGTGACGTGGGTACGTTTTGGGCATTAGGCCGTCCAGATATCTCATCGGGTTATTAAGCAAAGAGCCATTTGTTGGTGATGAAGCTCTAGAAGTATTGCCACCGACTCCCCACCGGTGCGTGGATCAGACCGCTCCTTAACTTAAACATAGACTTTTGTAGCCAACATGATGATCCATATTTGTTTTTTGGTTCCGTCACCTCGTAGTTTTTATGCAAGATTTCTCGTCAATTACCCTCCACCAGCCGACAAGATTGTCACCTGTTAAAGGACATCATCATTCGATACGCGGCCAACGTCTCGATCGACTTTTCAATTCAACATCACCGTACGACGGAGTTCCACCAACGCGCCGCTTTGAGCGCAGCTACGGTGGTGTGACCCTAACCCACATTTTTTTTTATATCTCATCGTATATCGGCGACGAAACGTAGCACCGTAGCGTGACATTTCGCTCCCAGCAGAGCTTATCCATGTCGATCGTTCACCCGGACATTGCCTGCGCTGCCACGGCAGCCACTCCGGAACTCGCGTTCACCGGGAGTCTGTGGGTGGCGCTCGTCCGACGTATGTTCAACTTCTTTCGCACCGTACATAGCCAACCGTGCTAATCGATGACGGCTGTCTCCGCGTCGTCCGTGTCCCGGGCCTTCCGCCCGCCGGCAGAGTACGTGCTGAGCTGCCCCGTGCCGGGGAAGCCGGCGTTCGGCGAGGTGTACGTGAGCGGCCTGCACCCCGGCGGCAAGGCCTACTTCCACTGCAAGGCCGGCTACCAGCTGCGTGGCCAAAGCATCCTCACCTGCGTCAACAGCACCCACCCGGGCTGGGACGCCACTGAACCCCTGTGCTTAGGTGAGAGGGGAGCACCCCGCACGACCCCTCGCCCCCCACCCCACCCACCTACTCGCTCGATTAATCGTCGCACGCTTTCTCACCCCATCGTTTCATTGCTCACTCGCTATATGACGGTGTCGTTCATTGCTTATCACTTCCTTACTCGCTCAATCGATCACTCACTCTCTCGATCACTCGCCCACTCGCCCCCATCGCTCAATCACCCCGGAGTGCCGTTTGAATTTGATTGGCTCCATCATCTGCCCCCGTGCCGTGCGCAGCGATGTGCGGTGGCCTCATCCGGAACGCGTCCGTGGGGCGCATCCTCTCGCCCAACTTCCCGGCCAACTACACCAACAACCTGACGTGCGTGTGGCTCATCGAGGCACCCGACGGCCAGCGGCTGCACCTGCACTTCGAGAAGCTCGCCCTGGCCGAAGACGACGACAGGTCGGTAATCTTGACGACGGCGAAGATGCCCTCGCGTCGTCCCGCACATCCTCCTCTTGTCTGCACGCATCGTCGGGTGATGCGCGAACCGTCCACGGTAGTCTTGAGAGGGAGGTGGATATTGCAGCACCGTTCCTCGAACACACACGGGAGATGAGCGCTCGAGCAGACCACACGCTGAACAGAAGTAGATGGCCAGTGGACCGTATCGTTGCTCATCCTGCTTCGCGTCTAACATTTTTATTTAAAGTTTTGTCTGACATTGAGTCACTCCTCCACCCCCCACTACCCTCCTCCACGTCTCCCCACACCCCTAACCTCACCTCCCCCGCAGGCTGATCGTGCGCAACGGGAACACGTCGAGCGCCGTGCCGCTCTACGACTCGTACGAGACGGAGTACTTCCCCGGCGAGGGCGTCATCAGCACGAGTCGCTACTTCCGCCTGGAGCTCACGACCGACAACGTCGGCACGGCACCGGGATTCGCCGTGCGATACGAAGGTCCGGCACTCGCCGCGGTGCGGCAAGGGGCGAGGGGAGCCCCCACCCCCCCCCCCCCCCGCGATCCCCCCCTCCACCCCCCCTCCACCCTCCCCCTCCAACCCCCCCTCCACTTCCCCCACCTCCACCCCCCACCTCCACCCCCCACCTCCACCCCCACCCTTCCACCAATCCATTTGCGTTTCGCTCGTCCATTCGCAGCAGCGTCGGATGGAGAGCGTTTTGACCCCTCTCGGTCGGTCGCTCTGCAGGTGCCCGCCTCGATTGCATGGCGTCACAGTCCATCGTGGGCCCAGGCCACGACATGCGGCTCGTTTGGTACCACCTGGAACGGTAAAGCTTGTGCCAACAGTCTTTAAACCGCCAATACAAGTCCAATGGTGCAGTAACAATATATAATAATCGTGTCATCACATCATCAACTTTTGGTAGCCATGAACTGCTATCCCCGCATAATTGCCACCACCTGCGGTACTACATTACACTGTGGCTCGTGGACCGTCGAGGGTTATCTTTGAATCTTAATCACAACGACAATGGCCTTGTTGCTTTATCCAGGAAGGCCTTACTCTGAATCTCAAGGCATTTATTCTAGGAAGGTTCTGCTTAGTTGGGATGCGTTCACTTGTATGAATGTGCATGCGTGTGCATGTGTGTATTTGTGTGAGCACGCGCGTTTGTGCGCTTCCGTTCACGTGTGTGTGTGTATGTGTGCTTGCTAACAGCACTTGCCCCAACAGTCTGTTGAGGCTATACGGGGGGGATCTTTGTACATGTGTGGTGGAGAGCGGTGGTGCATTGGTTAGCGCATTGCACTGCGAAGGTTGTGGAGGGGGGGAGGGTTTACCCAGCCCATCGTTTCTCTCGCCTCCCCCCGCCATAAGAACGTGGAACTTCCACCACTGGCTCTGCAGGGCTGTAAACGTGATCACACCAAGACCTCAAAGTTCAATTGAGCAAGAAATCGCTTTGACTTTCGCCTTGACCTCGGTGCCCGGTGATCCACAAAATTACTTAATTCGAACCGCTGTTCCTCCTTTCATCAGAACCCTTTCCTATTTGGCGTTTTTTTTTTTGCCATATCCACCTCGCCGCTGTTCACGAACAGCTCCGGGGGGGCTCACGGCTTCACGGTGCGCGTTGACTCGGAGCCAATTAACAAACGCTCGCTCGCGCACACACGTGAGCGAGCGAGCGAGCGAGCGCGCCATCTGATCGGCGTCTCCATCGCGCCCACTTAATAATGCATTTGGGGGGGGGGGGGGGAGGGATTCTTTATTTATTTTTTTTGGAGCCGCTCTTGATTTCGCCAGCGTCAGGTCCCCGTAATCGCCCATCGATTCTCGGCTCGTTGATTAATGCGCCGAGAGGGCGGCGACCTACGAACCTCAATTAATCACCGGCCTACTTGTGTCTTCTCACATCCCACCGATCAACCCCATCCACCCCATCCACCCCATCCACCCCATCCACGCGATCCACCCGATCCACCCAATCCACCCCATCCACGCGATCCACCCAATCCACCCCATCTACCCGATCCACCCAATTTACCCCATCCACGCGATCCACCCAATCCACCCCATCTACCCGATCCACTCAATTCACCCCATCCACGTGATCCACCCAATCCACCCCATCTACCCGATCCACCCAATTTACCCCATCCACGCGATCCACCCAATCCACCCCATCTACCCGATCCACCCAATTCACCCCATCCACACGATCCACCCAATCCACCCCATCTACCCGATCCACCCAATCCACCCCATCCACGCGATCCACCCGATCCACCCCATCTACCCGATCCACCCGATTCACCCCATCCACCCGATTCACGCGATCCACCCAATCCACCCCATCCACGCGATCCACCTAATCCACCCCATCCACCCGATCCACCCGATTCACCCCATCCACCCAATCCACCCCATCCACCCCATCCACCCGACCCACCCCATCCACCCCATCTACCCGATCCACCCGATTCACCCCATCCACCCGATTCACGCGATCCACCCAATCCACCCCATCCACCCCATCCACCCGACCCACCCCATCTACCCCATCCACCCGACCCACCCAATCCACCCGTGGTGCTGCTGCTGCCCCATTAGCCGGGGGGGGGGGGGGTGGGTGGGGAGCGGGCGGGGAAAGTCTCTTAATGCAAAAATTGTTTTTGCAAGAGGATCCCACCCCATTCGTTTCGATTCATAGACTCCTCGTTAGGTGACCAAAGAGATAGGTGGACCACAACTAATTTAAAAGTGTAGTTAAATGAGAGGTGCAGAAAAAACTGAGAGATGAGAGAGTTTAGTTCGCTCGTTTATGCTAATTGTCTCGTTTATGCTCATTGGTTTGTTTACGTGTATCTGGCTCGTGGACGTTTGTGGTGTCCTGGTGTGTGTATTGCACGTTGTGTGTGTGTGTGATCTGGTGTGTGTGGCATGTTGTGTGTGTGATGTCTGGTGTGTGTGTGGGACGTCGTGTGTCTGTGTGTGACACCTCGTGTGTCTGTGTGTGGCACCTCGTGTGTGTGTCTGTGACACCTCGTGTGTCTGTGTGTGACACCTCGTGTGTCTGTGTGTGACACCTCGTGTGTGTCTGTGTGTGACACCTCGTGTGTGTGTGCGTGTGTGGCAAGTTGTGTAAACATTCATCTGGGGCCTCTTCAGCTGCTTGGTGCCCAAAGCTTTTGCTGGGTTCTGCTCATGCCCAGTGCCGCCACTGTGCCTTGCCACCGTCCATCGCACTCCACCAGTCACCTCGACGCCAATCCGTGTTGGGTTTTTTTTCTTCTCCCTCTGATTTCCCCCTCCGGTCCTCCGGCCATCGTGCGATCGTTTCTGCCTTCGCTGCAGCGTTCGAACGCGGCCGCTGCTACGAGCCGTACATCCAGTACGGCAACTACAGCAGCTCGGACCCGCTCTACTCGGTGGGCACCCTGGTGGAGTTTGCGTGCCACCCCGGCTACACGCTGGAGCAAGGAACCCCCGTCAGCGAGTGCCTGGACATCCGCGAGCCCTACTGGAACCAGACTGAGCCCATCTGCCGTGGTGCGTGATTTCGGCCGATTTGCCGGCTACTTTGACGCCTTCCCCTAATTTGTTTAGACAACAAACAAGGAATACAAATGAATGCACGTGCGTGGTTTGAAGTTACCCACCTCGCCTGGTATGCAGGAGGCCGTGGGTTCGATCCCGTCCCTGACGCCTGCTGCTGCTGTATATTTGGAGTTTGCGTGTCTCTCTCTCCCCGTGGTCACCTGGATTTTTCTGCGGGTCTGCGATACATTTCCACGTGATAATCGACTTGGTTGAGCTATCATTTGCGGCCAAGTCGGTTCTGAAAAAGAGATTAATAGTACAGTCGGCCTTACCTGGTGCGAAAGAAGCGCAACATTTACAGAGAGTACATACACGCGACGATTTCTGCTGTAACACTTTCCAAGCCGACGGGTCATTTCTTGTTGGGGCAGTATTCAGTCAGCAGTGGTCCAGCGGTTCCAACCATCTGCCAACATTGGTCAAACGTTCCATGTTTACTGTTTTTTGTCCGATGCTTTGATCAGTTTGACCGTTTGGCCATCGGGCAAGCCACTTCGTGGGTTGAAAACTTTGCGAGAAAGTTTCTGTTCGTATCGATTGATCTTCGCTGGAGTTGCGTTATTGCCTCCCCGTTCCGGAGGGGCCGACGCAATGAATACATCGTGCATCCAAGCGTAGATGGAAAATGTTCGAAAGTAATAATAATAATTTACAGCCGTTTGACAGCCCAGTGCAGGGTCGGTCGTGGGAGGTTGACTGATTGATCATACTTCACCACGGTGGTCAGGGTGAGCTGGTGGAGGTGTTGAGGGGGGGGGGCTCTACTGGTTCAGTTATCACTCGCCAGTGATGTGAGCCCTGGTCAGGAATTAAACTCGGGTCACCAGGTTCATAGTCCACTGCGTTAACCACCACTCCACCACAAATGTTTTTTAAAACATTTTTTTATGAAATAACCCCCAGCAATTTCACGAATTGTAAAAATCAGGGATCGCAATTCACATAATCGGTAAACAATAGATATTTAATATTCTTGGTTCTTTCGGTAAAGAAAGAACCAAGAATATAAATAGATATTTTACTCAACGAATTGGTGAATCGTTGCGTACTTAGGCCCAACAATTCGTCAATTAGCATCAGATCCTCCGCTCCCAGCATACACATAGAAGGGTATTGTGCGGAAGAATCGATCACTTCTGACTCGTGTATGCGTATGAATTTTCTCAGCCGCGGACAGAGAGTAGATTCGTACGGCCGTAGATCGTTCGCGCACCACAAGGGCAAACTGCATTGATCCGTGACCCCCAAATCACAACAATTTATCGCGTCGTGGAAGTGCTGGAATCGTTAACGGAGCCATTTCTCCCGCCGTCGCAGTGATCCCCACCCCATCGCCCCGCGGGGTCGCCCGCCTTGACGTTATCGCGCCGCCCCCCTACCCGGGGGCCTTCCCCTCGGTGGCCAACCTCTCTGGCTGCCACGCCAATGCCTATCTCGGTCGGTTGTTGGCAGTTTGTAAAAAATAAAATGTTGCCCCGTGTTGGCTCGGTGTGGGGGGGGGGGGGGGAGCAGTGGTTCGCGCACCGCGCTACAGAGCTGCGCATCCGAGTTCGACACACGTCTGTGGCTAATCTCACTCGGTTGCTGAGCGATTCTTGAACCGCTCCTGGGGCCCCTTTGCCCCTCGTTAAACAAAAATCTCCATTGGGCAGCATGGTGAAGTATGGTCAAACGTCCCCCACAGCTGACATGGTATGGGGTGGAGGGTGGGCGCATTCATCCAACAGTAGGTTGACAATGTGCTGCAAACTGTTTAATTGTTTTTGTCGTCATTTAAATTTGGTCTTGACACGTGCGAGGTCCGTGTGGGTACCCATGTCTCCCTCATAAGGGAGCTCCTGTACCTCTACTTAACTCTATGAATGCGCGTTGAACTTCTTTCGCGCCGTACGTAGCCAACCGCGCTAATCGGAGGTGCAGGGAAAGGAAAATAAACTAAAAGCGCAAATAGCAGTGTTGTCACACAACTGCCTAACGATAGGAAATAGCGGCACTAATTTGTTCTATTTTATATTGGTGTCAAAGCAATAATGAGATGTTTATCGCGTGATCGTATATTTTTAATTGTCAGGCAAATTAAGTGCAAAAACCAGATTTAGTACGATGGAGTCTTTTTTCCTATTTGTACAATCATTTGGTGACCCGGGCTGGAACCATGAGCTTATCACTGCACTGGAGAAACCTGGCGGGCCGATAGCTGGATTCCATCCCCAGAATCTTAGCAGTGCCGGTTCGGCGCCGTGACCTCTGAGCCTCTGACCCCTAACCCCCAATACTCTTTCAGGGGCGCCAATGAGAATGGGGTGACGACGCGTTCGCTGGTTGAAGAAAACATACTGATCTTTACGCGAGCGGGAGCCACTCGAGTCGGAGAGAGCGACACTTGGAGCTCGCAACAGTTTATTTTTTCATGAAGCAGGTTTTCACTGGAGATTGCGCGCGTGTGTGTATGTGCAAAGTCCCATCGGTGAGCTCCTCCGGCAGGCAAGGCTGCGTTGGCTGGGTCGTGTAGCCCGCATGCCCAGCCACCGCATGCCGAAACAGCTTTTGTTTGGCCGGATCGAGGGGGCTAAACGGGCGCGGCACGGGCTAGAGAAGAGATGGAGTGATGTGGTACAGGAAGACGTGGAGCTGAGTGGACTTGCCAATGACTGGTACCAGCGGTGTCAAGATCGGCCTCTGTGGAGGAGGCTCGTGAAGGACGCTGCTGGGCAGTTGGAGGCAGTCGCCCTCCAACAACAACGGAGGGCGGAGGAGCGACGCTCACAACAACGAGCGGAACGCCGGGTGGCTAAAGCACAGCAAGTTGGCACAGTAGGGGGCACAGGTGGTGCATCAACCAGTCATCTCGGTCATCTCAGTCAGTCCACCCGTGGCACCTGGGTCTGCCCCGTGACCTCCTGCCAGCGGGTGCTCGACACTTCACGTGGCCTCAAGGTGCACATGTCCTGGCACAAGCGTCGTGGTGATGTGACCGCCACTTAGTGGCGAATGGTGGTTGTGTGTGTGTGCGTGCGGTCGTGTAGCGTAGCGATTAGCGAGCTGCAAACCCGGCGACCCGGGGGTTCGATTCCCGCTCATGGCCAACAACAGTGACGATTATCTGAACCGGTCCTGGGACTCCCCAAGCTCGACTCACCCTCAAATGAGTACGCTGTGTAAAAACATCGCCATTGGGGAGACAAAGGCGGACGTGTGTGACGCTGGCCACCCCCACCCCCTTGTGTGCCGTTCCAGCCTTCGTAGGTGCTCACTAACGGCACTTGCCTGAACAGTCCGTGAAGGCTAGACGGGGGATCTTTGTCTGTGTGTGTGCGTGCACAGCGCTGTGTGGCGGCGACGTCACCGGGTCGCACGGAATCATCCTCTCCCCCAACTACCCCGACATCTACGACGAGGGCCAGGACTGCATCTGGGGCGTGCGTGTGCGCGAGGGGCGGCGCATCCTGCTGGAGATACAGCTGTGAGCACGCGCACACGTGGTTCACGCACACGCTCACGTGGTTCACACACACACACGCTCACGTGGTTCACCCACACGCTCACGTGGTTCACACACACACACACGCTCACGTGGTTCACACAAATGCACACTCACACACACTCACGTGGTTCACACACACGCTCACGTGGTTTGCACACACACACGCTCACGTGGTTCACACAAATGCACACTCACACACTCACGTGGTTCACACACACACACGCTCACGTGGTTCACACACACACACACGCTCACGTGGTTCACACAAATGGACACTCACACACACTCACGTGGTTCACACACACACACGCTCACGTGGTTCACACACACACACGCTCACGTGGTTCACACACACACACGCTCACGTGGTTCACACACACACACACGCTCACGTGGTTCACACACACACGCTCACGTGGTTCACACACACACACACGCTCACGTGGTTCACACACACACACACTCACGTGGTTCACGCACACGCTCACGTGGTTCACGCACACACGTGGTTCACACACACACACGCTCACGTGGTTCACACACACACACACGCTCACGTGGTTCACACACACACACACGCTCACGTGGTTCACACACACACACGCTGACGTGGTTCACACACACACACACACGCTCACGTGGTTCACACACACACACGCTCACGTGGTTAACACACACACACACGCTCACGTGGTTCACGCACACACGTGGTTCACACACACAGCGGCAGCAGCAGCATGAGCAACAGCGTTAGCAGTAGAGGCAGCAGTAGCAGCAGCAGCATGAGCAACAGCGTTAGCAGTAGAGGCAGCAGTAGCAGCAGCAGCATGAGCAACAGCGTTAGCAGTAGTAGCAGCAGTAGCAGGTCCGTGCAGCGACAGCCCCTCGTCTTGTTTCACTTCATTTGGCTTTTTTTTTTGCTTCATTTTTTGCCAAATAAAAGCCAAATTGAAGCTGGCACCACCGGGGCCCCCGAGCGATGGTGGAATTGAGAGGCTTCGATCCGGCCACGCTCGTCTAATTGCAGTCTGGGTTCGACCTCACATAATGGATGCGCGGACCTGAGCCGAATTATAGCAATTCGGCTCGTCTGCAGGGTAGCCAGTCCCTGCCCCGCACCGCCCAGAATCGCGTCTCCCAGCCGCCGCATCATCGGTGTTTCATTATCTGCGTAAAACGTTGATCAGGCTTTTGGTTAAAGTCCGTACAATTTGGAATTGGCATCGATCGATTTTCTTTTCTGTAGAGGGTTTCATGGTCCTTGCGCGTGCGCGTGTGTGCGCACGTGCGTGTATGTGCGCGGGTGCGCGTGTGTGTGCGCACGTGCGCGTGTGTGTTCGTGCACGTGCTTGTTGATCTTGAGCTCGTTTTGATGCCAAAATGTGGGTGGGGAGCGGAGCCGTCTCCTGCGCGTCGCGCTGGGCGTCTTTTTGTCCCCAGTGTCATTCGCCGTTTTCTTCTGACTGCGCTGTCATCGTCGTCGTGGGACGAAGCGTCCGTTCCGGAGCCGAGCGCTTATTTCCTTGGTTGTTGACAATATTTCACGACGTGGAAAATCGCACAGATTTATATTTTATGAAGTGGAACTGCGTTGAGCGAGCCGCACGGTTCGTCAATTAAACGCCGTCGTTTTTTTGCGGACGGATATTTACGGCTGTGAAACTGCTGTTGAACTTTTTGTGCACCAACCACGCTAATCGGGGGTGCCGCGGGGTGGGGGGGGGGGAAGGACAACAAACTAAACACAAAAAGCAGTCGGAAAGAAATTAGTTTTCAATCTAGATTTAAAAGTGCATAGCTTCAGTGGCTTCCAACGGCAAAGCCCCTTTAGTGGTCGGCCAAGTAGGGGAATTGGAATCTGAAAACCAGATGCGAACCCAGGTGATCAGTGGTTGCCGGCTCCATGTCTCCAACCTCTAGCCCACCTGGCCACCACGTGCCTTTGTCTTGACGACCGAGTTGTACCGCAGTGGAAAAATGAAAAAACGAAAGAAACAAAGGAAAAACATTAATAAAAACGTCCGAATTCATGATGGTCATAAATTACATTTGAAAAATCCCTTGACCATCAAAGTTTATTTCATCCGCGTGATGAATCCGACGACAATGCCGCGCTCGGACTGCGAGAGGAATGTTAATCGCCCTGACGTGGCTTCAAAAACAAGGCAATAAACACAAAATGGCATCGGGTGACCAGGAGGCTCAGAGGTCCGAGCGCTGAGCTGGCACCGTTGAGTTTCTGTGTTTAAATCGCAGGCAGCCAGCCGCCTTGAATTAAACCAGAATCACCGTGGATATAATTTTACTCAATTGCAGCCGCGGAAATGTATACACCGGCTTGACTGTCGTGCGACGAACGTTACTCGCTGAAGCGTGGCAGGTGGTAGAGTTCTGTGTAAACCAACGGTCGCTCGAAGGGATCTCGGAGGCAGCTCTGTGAAATCCGCTTCCGTGTGTCATTCTCCAACGTGAACGTGTTCGGCATTGCCTACGCCAGAGATGCGAATGGATTATTTTGTCCCGTGAAACGGTGCTGGTCGTACATTCGATCTAAAATTGGGAGGGAAAAAACCGATATATATTGTTTTAAAATTACTTTAGTTGTATGATTTACTTATAATCGTGTGCCCTCTGCCCACACGCCCGCCCCCCGTAGGCTGGACATCGGCAGCACGGACTCGGTGACGATCTTCGACGGCGACGACCTGACGTCGCGGGCCCTGGGACAGTACGCCGGCACGCACCACCGCTTCCGCGTCTTCACCACGGGCTCTGAGGTCACGGTGCAGTTCCTGTCCGACCCCGCGGGGCCCATCCCCGGCAGGGGTCGTGGCTTCGTCGTCCACTACTCCGGTGAGAGCCGCCGCCGCCTCGCCCGGGGGCAGTCCAGCGGACGGACGCACGCCGGCGCCTGTCGGGCGACGCGGCCGCGTTGCGGGGGGAGCGTGGCGGGGGGAGCGTGGCGGGGGGAGCATGGTGGGGGGAGTGTGGCGGGGGGAGCGTGGCGGGGGGAGCTCAGAGGTAGCTCCGCGGTATCCGCTTTCGTCGGGCCGTTTTCTTACACCGGAGCGTCGCGGCCAGCCGGCCGACCGCTCGGCAAAAGATCAAAGCGGATGCGTCGACCGTGTGGCGTGACGCCCCGGAACACAATTGGAAGAAAAAAAATTGGGAGAAATGTTTTGAATGGTGAAACAAAAATTCTATGAAACGTGTTGCGGCCACGTTGCTGGCATCCCCGATCATCGTTTACAGCTCAGGGCCACGAAGAGTTGGGGTGCAGATGGGGCAGATAGATGGGGCGGTTTTCCATCCAAGGGGATCTCAGAGAAGTCTTCTCATGTAATTTGTTTCCCCCCGGGGCCTCCAACATCCTTTCCGAGGCCCTAGGAAAGACTGGAGGAAGGGTAGTGGCTGCAGCTCTAAATTCACCTTCTCGCCCTACCAACCGGCCCGTCAACCTGCCCGCCCATTTACCACGCAGTACCTCGGCCATCGACATTCTCAATCGCAATGCTATCCGTGACCCGCATTATCATTTATTTATTTCTACGTGACCACACCCCCCCACTTACTCGCCCTTTTTACCCCCCCCCCCCCACCCTTTACCTTACTTTGCACACGCAGAGGTCGTGCGTAACGACACGTGCTCGCCGTTGCCCGACGTGACGCACGGCTGGAAGACGCTGTCTCACGCTGAGCCGATTCGCGGCACGGTGGCCACGTACCAGTGCGAGCCGGGCTACGACATCCTGGGCACCGACATTCTCATGTGCCAGTGGGACCTCTCCTGGAGCACCGACCCGCCCTCCTGCCAGCGCGGTGAGTGGCGGTGGTGGCGGCGCTGGCGGCGGCGGTGGATAACCGGTGCGGCGCACGACGGCCGACGGTAAACCGGCGCTCGCCTGACTTTACAAAGTCGGCTCGTCGAGGAATCTGTCGTACCTCGGCAACGGGGGTCAAAGGTTATGTCGGTGTTCCTCGCCGGTTGCTGCGTTCGGGATGCCGCCCCGACTCCTGGAAGCCGTGCGGACTAACGCCATCGCGGCCGGGCGTGGTCCTGAAAACACCACCCTCTCCTCGTGCGCCATGCCGGCCTTCGTTGGTGCTCGCTCACAGCACTTGCCCCCATCGCCCAATAATGTTAAACAGGGAATCTGGACTATTGTGTCAGGTTGGCCTATAATGAGTATCTGGTGCCAATTAACATGAGCATTGGGCGTGGTACTGGCCCTAGCGGTGGTGCCGGGCGGTGGTGACTCAATATCTGCTAATTGCCCTGGCAATTTAATTGTGAATCCTTGCAGTCACGAAAGTTTCAAATCTAGAATTTAATTGTGACCGCTCGTATCGGCAACTTCGTGCACGTGAAGATTCTTCTGCAGTGAGAATTGCAACCGGGGCTGGTGGGTTGGACGTTCCTGGAAATGTGTAAAAGCCTCCTTTCATTGCGTCTGCAGGTCGTTGTTGTTCCCCCTCGCACGTTCATTGTTTTAGTATTGACGCACGAGGTTCCCACGGCCATCCCAGCCCAGGTTGCCTCACCCACCGCGGTCTACCCCACCACGGTCTAACCCACCGCGTTCTAACCCACCTGCGTTCTAACCCACCACGGTCTACCCCACCACAGCCGAGACCACCAACACTGTAATTCAATGCCAAGGCAATCCACCCCCAACTTCACCAAAGGCTCTCGCAGCCTAGCCATGCACAGGCAATTTTTGCCCCACAGTCTAGCCCAGCATCAGCTTACGACGCAGTCATTCGTTTGAGGATCCGCACAGCTGATATTACGAGGAGCGGAGGTGGGGAGCGGAAGCAACCCAGACGCTCTGATGGCATCCACCCCCCCCCCCCCCCACCAGCTTCCGCTTCCCCCATACTCTCTAGCGGAAAGCGCCCGGTAGCGGCAGAGTCATTTATATTCATTAAGCTCGTCGCGCCCCTGCTGATGCGCGCGGCCTTGCGACGGTATTGAGCACGACGGCGCGGCCCACGGCTCTCGGCGACGCCCCGGTGATCATCATGGCCCGTGGCCGTCCCATTGCCGATTGTTACCGAACGCACGACACTGGGACGGGCGGGCGGGGTGCGGGGAAGTGGGGGGTGATGGGCGGTGGCCAAATTGCCCAGAACTTGCGAGACACAATCCCAAAGCAATAAGTAATATTTGCGAAAATTAAAATGTGTTTTTGCCTTGACAGTTGCCCGCCGGCTTCCATGCCGCTAATTAATGAAGAACCTCCCATCACTCGCACGCGTGTCTGTGTGTGATTTATCTGAACTTTTTGCTTGAATTTTTACCACAATTATAATATGTAGATATGTTTTTGTTTTTCTCTCTACGAGTACTATAACGTCATCATCAGCCGGGATCAGTCCACTGTTGGATGAAGGCCTCCCCTCAGCCATTTCCATCATTCACGGTCCAGCGCTGCAGCAGTCAGGAAGCCACTGGATGCTACGCACTTTAAAATCTAGATTTCAAACTGATATTTGTTTTTAGTTTGTCCTTTCCACACACTTCCGACTAGCCCGGTCGGCTACGTACGGTGCGAAAGAAGTTCTACATACGTACGACAGTGTACCCCGGTACGCGCCCGCACACGAGCCGATCCCATCGCTCCACCTCCACGATGGACGTCCTCCCCTCTCGTCCCAGCCCTCCGCTCTCAGCTCGCGCGTCGCCGACATCCCCTCCAAACCTAATAAACAAAGCGCTGCCATGCAACAAACCAACGGGGACACGGTCACGACACCCCCCCCCCCACTCCTAGCCACCTGCTCACACCTCTTCGCTTTCTGTTCTCCTGCCCCCCCCTCCCCCGTCCCCCGAGCAGTGCAGTACTGCTCGGACCCCGGCGTGACGGAGCACGGCCGGCGCGTGCTCTCCGACTCGCGCTTCCTCGTCAGCTCCACCGTGCAGTACGGCTGCGACCGTGGCTACCAGATGGAGGGCGGCTCACTGCTCACGTGCCACGCGCGCGACACCGGCAGCCCCAAGTGGAGCGCGCCGGCGCCGCGATGCGTCCGTGAGTGGCGCGCCCGGCTCGGGCTTCGGCTCGGCTCCCGGCAGCGAGATGTTAACTACCTCGTCCTGGTATATAGGAGGTCATGGGTTCGATCCCGGACCCTTGACACCTGCTGTATATTTGGAGTTTGCGTGTTCTCTCTCTTCTCCATGTGGTCGCGTGGATTTTTTCTCCGGTTTTTCCCCCCACATTTAGAACCAACGTAGCGTTTAGAGTATTTGGCTGAGATAAGTTTCCACGTGATCAGCCACTTCGTTGAGCTTTTATTTGTGGCCAGATCGCTTCTGAAAAAGAGCTACATAGCTCAGTGGGCCTTACATGGCAAAATAAATAAAATACTAATTTTAGTTTTATTATATTTTTCGTGTGTTATGTGAATTGGTTGTCGGTGTTGCCATCTACTGGACTTGTTTATTCGTTCACTGGACTTGTGTGTGTGGGGGGAGAGATTTTGCGACGGGAGCACGCAGCGCCACATTCCCTTCCCCAGCCCGCTAACCCACAGCGGGTGGTGGTGGCTTCGCACGCGGCCTGTAACCCAGCGCTGCGTAGACACCGAGAGTTGGTGGACTCCCGTACGTTCAATACGTAAGGGACAGAGCGCTGCTCCCTCGCCGCACACATTTTGGGTTTTCTCCGGGCGCTCCGGTTTTCCTTTCCTCCCACGTGTGAACGCTCGTTAATTAGCCAAAAACATGCGAATATGTCGAGGACCCCAGAGCTTTAAGAAACTGTTGGTAACGCCCGCTCCTTGCCGCGCGTGGCTGCTGCTGCCGCTGCCACATTCCTGTCAACCCCTTGTCAGTGCCCTACCTTGTTACAGACCAATTCAGACCTGATTGGTCACCCCGTGCTCTTATAAATCTCAACGTTCATCCTACAAAGGGAGAAATACAAACAAATAAACAAAAAAGTATTTTTTTGCCCGTATTGAAACGGCCGTACGCCGTATGGACCTGAAAACTAAATACGGGGTAAAATTAACTAAATTTCCCTGTACAAGAATACGGGGTAAGCCGTATATGGGTTGACAGCGATGCTGCCGCCTTCCCAGCTTGTCTGGGGTTCTTCCTCCTCCTCGTGCCGTCGAGTCCGCTCGCTTGCGTCTCTACGAGAGCAACGAGCGAATGCCGTGTTGCAAGTCGACATCGTTATCGTCGCTTCGTTTTAGCTCTCTCTGCTTCGCCGGAGGAGATGCCGAGAAAATATTTCTTTTTTTTCCGCCGCTTAAACCTCCAGTTCAAATTGACTACAAAAAATGTCGGTTAAGCCGTAACAAAAAAATTTGCCACGGTGACACTGGCAGAGCCAGGGCCGAAGGGGAGACATTGGTGTTATTATGCGGCGTTGTATTGCATGGTAGTGTATCTTATTGCATTGCCTTGGTATTATTCCATTGCACGGTATTCATTGCATAGATATTGCCTGACATTGTATTGCCTTACATTGTAGTGTATGGTGTCGTATAGTATAGTATGGTATCGTATCACACGATATTGCAGTACGGGATATCGTTGTGGCATGACCCTTGGAGTAGTTGGGAGCTCCGCCAGCGATGCCCTCACTCCGTGGTGCCCTCTCTCGTGGTGCCGCCCGTCACTTCGCCACTCCCAAGCCACGCGCCTCGTAAATCGTTTCGTTCCCGCGGGCATCCGTTCCCACGTCCTTTATTAGCGTAATTGCCTCCAATTAGTCGAGCATGCCTCATTGGCATTGATTGTTGCGAAACTGTGCTGATGTGAAATCCATCACAACCACGGCCCCCAGGCTGGGAGACTTGGGGGGTGCTCGGGATTTTATTCGGAGTGATAATAATAACGACAGCGTACAGCTCTTTTGTAAATCTACTGCTGGATGAGGGTATCCCCTCCCCCACCCCCTGCCCCCAACGTGATTGTGATAGTCATGGGGGTTATTCGATCATACTTTACCACACGAGATCCCGTGCGAGTTGGTGGGAGGCATGGGGGAATATAGCAGGAGCGTAGAAGTACGGTACAACGATCGATGTTGCTTCACTGCCCTCTGCCTGCTGCCCACTGGATTGTCCATGGTACTCACCCACCCAAACACAATCAGAATCTTTATTTATCCTGGAGGAATCCGATGAGCTATGAAGCTCAGTATGGGCGGGTCGGCACTACCCAGGCTCATAAGAATAGTGAACGAATTATTCGGTGACTGTGGTGTGCAAGCACACGTGACAACATCTCAATACATTCATCAATAACACTGCTGCCTTTAAAAGGCCACATTTTTGCCAGTGGCCCTTCTTCACAGCCCCGAGAGAAGCCAGAGAAGTAGACGGATGACAGTGTTGTTCTTCATCCAGGAGAGCCTCACTGGCCCCATGTGGAAGTGAAACCAGAACGCCTGGAAAAAAACTCATCACAAATACGAGGGGATACCACTCAAAAGAGCCATCGCACTTACCATCTCTTGGCCGTGTATATCGCAGCCCGGCTAGCCTCAGAGTTTCACCCACACGTGCGTGCCAGTGTGCCCTGCGGCCGGCGGCTGCGCGGTGGCACGCACACGAACCCCGGCCACCCAAGTTCGATTCGCGCTCCCAGCCAATATCAGCGGCGCATATCTCGGCCTGTCCTGGGGCTCTCCCCTAGGTCGACTCGATCTTAACCGAGTACCCGGTGCGGTGTGTTGAAGCGTCAGCGCTGGGGAGACATGAGCGGTCGGGGCGTGGGTGCTGACCACACACCGCCTCGTGCGCCGTGGCGACCTTCATAGGTGCTCGCTCGCTAACAGCGCTGGCGCCAGCAGCCCATTAAGACTGTTTTGCCGGGGGGGGGGGGGATCCGTTGTCTCTGTCGTGCGGGCAGCCGAGGTGTTCGACCCGTGTGTGAACCCCGGCATGCCGGAGAACGGATACCAGCTGCTGTACAAGCAGCTGTACCAGCCGGGCGAGCTGCTGCGCTTCTCCTGCCTGGACGGCTTCCAGCTGGTGGGCGACGTGAGCGTGCGCTGCCTGCCCGGCCACCCGTCCCGCTGGAGCGGCTCGGCCCCCAAGTGCCAGGGTAGGTGCAGCGCACACGAGCGCAGATGCCACACGTGCCGAGTCGACACACGCACTCTCCTCACACGTTAACAGCAACAACCACCGTGTTGCCACGAAGTGGCGGTGATGTCACCATGGCGCTTGTGCCAGCACCTTGAGGCCACGTGAAGTATCGAAGACTCGCTGACAGGAGGTCATGGGACAGATCCGGGTACCATGGGTTGAGCGAGATGACTGGTAGATGCACCAGCTGTGCTCCCTGCTGTGACAAATGGCTCCGTTTTAGCCACCTGACAGCTCCGCTCATCCACCCTCCTTTGTTGTTGAAGGGCAACTGCCTCCAACTACCCAATAGCATCCTTCACGAGCCTCCACTATAGGGGCCAATCTTGACACCATTGGTACCACTCATCAGCAACCGCACACAGCTCCATATCCTCCCATACCACATCAGCCCATCTCTTCTCTAGCCCATGTGCCACGCCCGTTCAGCCCCCTCTATCCAGCCAAACAGAAGCTGCTTGGGTCATGTAGCCCGCGTGCCCAGCCACCGCAACCCAGGATGGATCGTAGGCACACGCACACACACGCATAGCAAATAGATACACGGGCTGCTGAGCCGGCACTGCTGAGAACCTCGGGTTCAAATGTCAGGCTCCCCGCGCCTGCAATGAAATCGAGTTCCCCTCTTCCAATCGCACGCATCCCCTCTTGCCTAGGGCAAAGAACACGGGGGGGGGGGGGGGCTGCCTTTTGTAATGTTCCATTTTCAGAGCACAGTGGTGGCGACGACGATGTTGATGATAATGCCTCTTCGAGTTGTATTTCCGATTCAATGTAATTGAAGGATCCTGACGAGTGTTGTGTTATTGTGTTCAGTGGCATACACGGAGCACCACACTGACCCGAAATCTGAAGGTAATGAAGTTTTTGAATTACCCAGGGGGGGTTCGCTCGGGCGGCGGACGCACGGGTTCTGGGTTGTCAGCGGTCGGCCGCGGCTGTGCTCCTTGCCTGCGTGTTCACGCGTTCGTTCGCTGCGTGCGTGCGCGGGCGGTAATTTGCATGCGGCCTGGAGCTCGTGCCGTCTCGACTCCGGTGTATTAACGAGGGCGCCGTTTGTCGCCTGCATTAATTCCTATCCTCGCCCTCTTGCTCCCCCCCCCCCCCCCCACCATCAACCGACCGACCCTCTCTTCATCGCACCGTCTCCACCAATTCGCCCCTCGCCTCTTCGCTCCCCGGCGCTACCACCGTTCCCCCCTCGGGTTCTTTCCCCCCCCCCCCCGACCCTCCAACACCCCCCCCCCCTCCCACACCTCCCCACAGTTGCCAAGACGAGCGAATCGGGGGTGCAGAAGCCCGGCCGTGACATCGTGGTGGCCATCACCATCCCCGTGGTCATCGTGGGTCTGCTCATCGGAGGGATTTACGTTTACTTCACCAAGTGAGTGAATGCATTTCGGATGCCCAAGGGGAATTTATTTCCACAGCCAGCTCTGTTTCGTCCTGTTATATGGCGATGCCCTCCTGTAGGGGGGTCGTGTTTGCAGTTCACACACACGAAAACATAGATGCACAATGTGCTGTGTCTGCTGCCATCTGGTGGCCACATCTGGAAAAGTCAAATACTGCACTAAAGGACCAGGATCATTCATTACCCATTCTAAAAATATTTTTTGCCGCTGACCTTGTTTACATAGTTCATTCTAAAAAAAAGTTGCGGGCTGCAGGTCGGCTTACGTTTGCACACAGCACGGCTGTGAAAGCGTTATTGACAATTGTGAATCAGCTCTTAGATGTCCTTGTGCTCACCGAGAGTGACGTCGTCGCCTGACGCAACAGAAGTGACGGCGCACGCGGTGCCGTTTTCTGCGACGTCACGCGTTCGCATCAATCGCAAAACAACAACAAAATCATCCATTGCGTTTTAACGTCCCGACTGCCTGCGTTGCTTTCGAACTTCTCTGAAAATCGTCCCACGGCCAATCATCATCCCGCAACCCCATCCGTGGCGATGCCGCACCGATTAACATGCCAATCACTCCGAAAAACTATCCTGATCGGCGGCAGCAGTGTCAACAAATCTTCATTCATTTATTTTCTCACCACGGTTGCCGAGGAGGGCCCCCCACACCCCCCCCAAAAAAATACACACCCAAGCAACCAGCAACAAACAGCACCGCCGAAGGTAATTCGCTCCACGTGTCTTTAATTGCAGGCTGCGCGGGAAGTCGTCCCTACGCGTGCCGCTCACGAGCTCGCACTCCTACGCTCGCCTCCCAGACGAGGCCGTCTTCGACAATCCCATCTACGAGATCGGAGTGAGTGCACGACGACCATTCTCCTCCTCCTATTCCACCAAACGGCTCACCCCCCGCCCCCGCCGCCCCCCAATGGAGGAGGGGTGGCAGGGCCAATGGCAAATATGCACCACGTCTGTAGGAGGGGCTGCACGCTCGTGTGCATCATAACACATTCCTGCGGAGGGAGCTGGTAGGAACGTTGGGTTGCTCGGTCAATGGCCAGGGTCAACGGCGGCGTGGTGTATTCCGCAAATATGCCCGACTGTGAGGGCGGGCACAAGCCGGCGTGAGTAGGTTAAACGTTGAGTTTTATAAGGGCACCACGGGGTGACCAGCCCCTCCCCACCCAGCCACACCCCCCACCCAGCCCCACCCCTCCCACCCCCCCACCCAGCCCCACCCTCCCCACCCAGCCCCTCCCCACCCTCCCCTCCCCACCCAGCCCCTCCCTGCACGACGGACGGACGGACACAATAATCCCCTGTGGGCTGGTGTAACCAGGAGGTTCTTACCAGTATGAGTCGTAGGTAATAAGCCAGGTGCTCGCAAACATGGGGGATTCTGAACGCTTCCATCTGGATGGAAGAAGTTCACGTGGAAAATCCACGTTCCAATTATTCAATTAACCCAACCTCGTTCGAAGCGAGAGACTGACCAAACCCGGCGCGGAGTATTTAGCCTCGGTCGCACCGGAGCCACGAGCTTCCACCTCGAGATGACCAGTCCGTGCAGCGCACATGTAGGGTGGCTTTTTATTCTTTGCAGATGCGCGTGCACACGCACGCCCACACGTGCGTGCGTGCGTGTAGTAGGGGGCACAGCTAGTGCATCTGTCAGTCATCTCAGTCAGTCAAACCCATGGCACCTGGGTCTGCCCCGTGACCTCCTGCCAGCGAGCCTTCGGCACTTCACGTGGCCTCAGAGAGCACCTGGCCTGGCACAGGCGCCGTGGTGACGATACCGCCGAGTAATGGCGAATGGCGGTTGTTGTTGTTGCGTGCATGTGTGCATGCGCGCGTGTGCTGCTGTTGCATTTGTCTTGTTGTTTCCCATCTCATGCTGTGGATGTCGCCCATTCCCAGGAGGCTTCAAAGCGACTGCCGCTCAGTTTCGTCCATCTGTAGTGCGTGCCCCCCCCCACCCACCAATCAGTGAGTGTCGTGACGGGAGACGTTGCCATAACCCATTCCCCCCAACCCTCGCGCACACCGCCGCCTTCCCACACCGTGAGTAACACCTCCCATCGCCGCCGATTGTCGCCATTGCGGTGATCCCCCCCCCCCCCCCCCAGAACCACATCGTTCCTTTACATAAATGTGGATGTCTTGCCCACAGTGGGGCTGTAGCCACGTGTGTGGAGGGCCCGGGCTGTGGAATCCAAAACCCCTCCCCCCCCGACCCACTGATGCTACTTCATGATCAAACTGTCACAGAAAACTTGGTCTCGGTTCTGAATTGGGGTAATTTTTTTTACCGAAACATCAGCTGATCGCATACGCAGTGTGGGGGGGCGGGTGGCCGTGACGTTCGTTTGCTTAAAGTGGGCGCTTTTTACTCTGTACCCTGCACTTTGGGGATGCGCAAAGTCGCGCCACGATGCTTTCGGTCTCTCGGGGGCCAAGCAACTTCATGCCCCGCCGTGTATTTTTTTTCTTCCTCCGTAAGGGAGCAGCTCATGACCAACAGTCGCAGGTTTTCTGTTTAGAATGTGCTCGTGCGCCACCATTGCCGGTGTCTTGTGACCTCCTCCCTCTTGCTCTCAAAACACGTTCCTTCGGAGTGGGCAGGTAGGAACTTGGTTGGACAGCGCATTCGTGCACGACAGACAAATATGCACGACAGACAGACAAATAATCCCTGGTGGGCAGTGTGGAACCTGTTGTTCCTACCTGTGTCAACTATTAAACTTGTCTCAAACACGGCGGCGTCCCGTGAGCTCGCGCGATCATGAAAGCCCCGCGTTGGGAGCGCGCTCGTCGATTAGTCTCGCCACCGCAAATGATTGTTTGTTACGAATCCGTGCCAGTGGTGGGAGAAAAAAAAAACCCCTAACCCTTGAACTACGCCCAGGGACGAACGAGGTTCCCTCCGTCCTCACGGTGAAGTGCATCGATTCTTGCTGTGGTGACATCAAAATAGATAAGCAGACAAGATATTTCTCCTTCATATACCCGCCTCTCCACGTAAGGGACACCGTTCATTTTTACCCAACCACTCGGGCGCCCCCAAGGCCTTTCTCTCTCTGTGTGTAAAGAATACTTTTATTTGGAGAGAGATATACATGCGGGCGACACTTTGACTGCTGTGTATCTTTTTTTGTTATTTCCATTCCCCACGACGAACGCGAACGATTGCTCGGCACTCGCTGTGAGCCTGACATTTCGAACCCGTTCGTGCCTGCGAGAGACTGAACGACTTTACACGACAGAGAGGCACGAGCGTGGATTGAACTGTAGCTGGGCCGCAGGGGGCACCAAGAGTTCCCCGGGCCCACAGTAAGCCGAGCGTGGAGGGAGGAGGGAACCCATCGTGGTTGGCCCAGTTGCCGCAGAGTTTGACGAGCAACGCTCGCTGGGTGGCGCGCGATGCGATGGCGTATACGTGTGTGCGTGGCTGCCCCCCCCCCCCCCCACCACCTTCTCCCGACAGGACACCCGGGAGTACGAGGTCTCCATCTAGGGCGGGCGGGATGGCTCCGCGGGGAGACGAGCGGCACCACTCTCTCCCACGACATCGCCTCACTGGCCGGCGCGGCCTTACGCAGAGCCCCGGGCACAACGCGCCCCCGCTGCCCCCGCCGCCCCTGCCGCCGCCGCCGCCACCACCCGCCTGCCCGCGACATCATTCGTGTAATCGGTCGCATTACGTAGGAATCCGCTAAACCGTTCTGAGCAGTTTGCAAGCGCCGCCGTCTTCACACCCCGCACTGGCACGCAAGTGGTGGGTAAGGTCACACGCCTCCTTCTCCTGCAAAGCTTTACAGCGCAGAGCCGTCTGCCGCACATCGTTTGTGAAGTCTTTTGGTTTACAGCGTTACCGTCGCTCGCCGGCTCTGGCGTCGGGCCCTCTCTTTGCGCCGACATCCCCCGAGCTCCGGGGGGGGGGGGGGTGGGAATAGGAGAGAGTTTTATTTATTTAATGTGCGGGATTCAATGGCTACCTTACCAAACTTGCTGAAACACAAATGAGAGAAGAATCGAGCGAGCGAGTCAAATTGAGAAAAATCGAATAACGCTGAGCTTTTGTAACGAGACATTTTTCACATTCGCTGGATGTTTGGGTCGCCGCCACGCTCAACGCCGCACGAGCAGCGGTCCCCGCTGAGCGACGTGTCAGATCCCTCACTGCGCCACCCCCCCCACACCCCGTCTGGCGAGGAGAGGCGTTTCTCATTTTAGGGAGATGATTTAGTTTTGCCGTCTTCACGATGAACGCGTCGTTAGCGCGAGCCTTGCTCACCCCGCAGAATATAATATTATACGGTAACCTGTGACTCGCGAGCACTTAGTAGCCTGTGATCGTGATTGTGTGCTTTACCTGCGAATTTACAGCGAATTAGCAGCTTTTACGGCTCGAGTTAACTGCAACCGTTTTCCAAAAAAACAAGAATTATCGGTGGAATTTTTACGATGACCGACAACGTCTGGCAACTTAGTTTCACGAAAACCACATGTCACTTTTTTTGATGTTCCGACAACTATCTTAACTGTTCCGGGGTTTTTTTGTTGTTGTTGTTAAGCACGAGTAAGAAAAAAAAGATTTAAGAAAAAGGGGCCGTAAAGCCCTGAACGTTTTATCTTAATCACATTTAAACTTCAGGTGAGCTCGAGTAAGCATGCATGCTCTACTGTAACGCCGAGTCTCGTGTACTTCAGTCCGTTACAATGTTTTACGAACCGAGCCGTGTTACCACTTTTACGAAACTGTATGGCACCTCCGCACCGCTTCTGGCACACAACCGCCCCCACCTTAGCACTCATTCCAGCAACTTTCCCCCTTTCCCCTCGTGTGTTCCGCCAATTCGAAACCTTCTTGATCTTTCTGTTTTTCCCATTTCGCGTAGGACCGCTTCCCCGTCTCTCCCCCCCCCCCCCCCCCCCCCATGCCCTCATCCACCGCCGCGGCATTCGCCGTAGTTCTTCGCTAGGTAGTTTTTTGGACGGGCGAGCGAGTGGGCGAGCGAGCGGGCAAGCACGTGCCGAGACTCGCCGCTCCGCCGCCCCCTTGTGCTCCCATCCGCTTGTAAATAAGCAGGGCACGTCTTGTGGGAAAGAGGCGCCGTCGGATGTGACCGACAGGTTTAAGAAACAGACCGCTCGATTAATCCGAACCCCGAGGAGAGGAAAAAGCAACGAAGATGGCCCGAACCGTCTTTGGGTGAACACAACTTGAAGGGCGCGCATCCGATCCGTTGATCTTTTGTTTGAAACCCGTCGTGAACGCGAGAAGGCCCACGTCTTCTTTGCATTGCAGAGTTAGGACGGCGCGAGGTTGCCCGAACCTCGCCCTTCACTGGCCGGGGTTGGGGGCCGGTGGATGGCCACGCCAATTCGGCGTGGTACGGTGTTGTCGGGCGCTGGAATTTTTTCCCCCAAGGCGAGCCCACGGTTCCATCGTTTCTTGAGGCTCATTTGTCCGGCGTGGCTTTCAAGTGTCGCTGTTTGTTATGATGATGATGTGATCTCTTATTTATTGATTAACTGAATAAATTATGCCGGTTTTGTGTGTACCCTGGAATCGTGAGCACGTCTTGGCGAATTGTTCGCGAGTGCCGCGAGTTAAGTCTGCGCGCGGTACCGAGGGTCACAGGCCGGCACCCGACTCGCCGCTTGGTAGAGCCACTTCCACATCAGCAAATCCCACGTGTCCTCTTCTTAAAGGCATTTTCACTTCCTGAATGTTTATTTTATTTGCCGGAGTGTTCTTATCACTCGCCTGCGTGGCCTTTATGAGGTCGTCGTGACTTTGTTTTTCCTTCGGAAAATGTACGTCTCATTTTGGCTCTGCACCAGCGGCCTCACGACCTCCAAAGTGATTTTGAAAGTCACCATTGGAACCTCCTTTTCCAGTAGCAACATATAATTGGTTTTTTACCCTTTTATCTGGCAACAAAACTGACACCTTTTTTACAAGGAGTCATGTTTGCATTGACCACAATACCTGCGGTCGGAATGCAAACAAAAAACACAACTCTGATAATGTATGCACTGTCCTTGAAATTGATTGGTGCCTTTTGGCGTCATCTGGTCCAACATTAACCTGCGTATAATCCGCATTTTTTTCCCTATCTTTGAATGTTTTTTTTTATCCAAGTGTGCATCTGAGTGAAACATTTGTTTTTAAAGGTTCGTTTATTGTAATGGGCAGGATTAGATGTGCCAAGAATAATACGCAACCAGTTGAAGAGAACGACATCGCGGTCGAGTCACCATTGGCATCATAAAAAAAACCACAACCTTGAACGTTTATACAAAATGGCGTCAATTGTAGACAGTTAAAAGCCCACACGTTAAAGAAATGCGGTTTTACGCTCGCATAAGCTGTTCGTAATCACAAATTCAATGCAATCACCACTTAGAAGAAAACTCGGCTAAGCTCACTCGAGTGCTGCTTGTTAGGGGGGGAGGGGTGGAGGGGGGGGCCTCAATCTCATCCACCGAACCCCCCGCGCACTACCAGATAAGGACCACCGCCTTGTTCATCTCCGCGGTGGTCCGTCTGCACGGGGGACGATATTCGGAAGCCAATAGAGCTACGCACGTTTAAATCTAAATTGTAAACAAATTTCTTTAGAACTGCTTTTTGTGTTTGGTTTGTGTGTCCTTCCCCCGCACCTCCGAAGAGCACGGTTTGCTGCATACGGTGCGAAAGAAGTTCAACTTACACACATAACATACAAAGAGCGCAGACTTAAACGGTGGCGAATGACAAATATTTTTCTCTGCTGCTGCTGCTGACTCCGCTGCTCACGGTCGTGACCGTCAAGGAGAATGCGGGGTCTTCATTTTATCCCGGGCACTCATCCTCGCCCGGGCACTCGCCCTCGCCCGGGACCACTTTTGAGAGAAATATCCGAGGATGTTGTGGGCGACAAGGAAGGAGGTAAGATCGCGGGCAGGCACCAAGGGAGACCTGGGACGACGATGCTCGTCGTCGCTTCTCGTCCCGGACAGAAGCCCGCGTGCGTTCCCCTCCGGCATGGCAGTTTCTCACGCTCGCTCGCACGCACAAACAGAGACCCCCAAAGCAGCACCAGCTAGTGGGCACCTATTAAGGAGAGCACAGTGCAAGTGCACGCGGAGGAGTGGCATGGCAAGCACCGTGCCCAGCACACACCGAACAAGGCACTCATTTAGGGTTGAGTGGAACCAGGGGATGCCCAGAATCGGGTTATTATTCTCCAGGATTGACAGCAGAAGTGCGCTAACCAATACGCCATTGAAACAACGACGGCGACGTCTCCACGGAGCTTTTGTGCCAGGCTCGGTGCACCGCGAGACTACGTGAAGTGGTCGAGGGCTTCCCAGGCAGGAGGCCACGGAACGAATCGAGGTATCGCAAGTTATCTGGCAATGACGACGGGCAGACAGGGCACCCGTGATTCACACTGTGCCAACCAACTTCACCAACACACGCACACGCACACACACCGCTCACGGGGGGGGCGATGCCTGCGCTCGCTCGCGTTTCATTCGCCGTCGTCCGCTGCCGCTGCGCCATCGTGAGCGCCGTTATCAAGGCCCCTCTCCTCCCTCCTCCTGCTCCCGGCGCGTGCCTGGCGCCTCTGCCTCGGCCGCTCGTTATCGCCGCTCCCGTCGCCGCCGCCGCCGCCGTCCCGGCGCTCCCTCGCCACCTCGTCGTTCTCCTCGTAGTCGCTGTCCACCCTGTCGTCGTCGTCGTCGCCGCGCTCGTGCCTGCCCTCGTCCGACTCCTCGTCCGAGTCCTCGTCCAGGAAGTAGCGGTAGCCCTTGTTGCGGCGCTTGGGCTTGGGCAGGCGGGGCAGGCGCGGGCGGTGGCCGAGCGCCACCTTGCGCTCCATGTAGATGTAGCACGCGAGGGCCAACAGCAGGCACGCGAGGAGGAAGGACAGCTTCACCTGTACGGGGGGGGGGGGAAGAAGTCTACAAGTCAGAGAAATGGTTTCGAAAATGAATTGAGCAATGTCTGAGGAGGTGTGGGCCCGGGACTTTATTTCTCATGGAATATCTTCCTGAGCACCACAACCCTCCACCACTACCCCCCTTCCCCCCCCCCGCACGCCACAGGATCCCAAGGACAATGCCCCCCCCCCCCCCCCCATATTTTCTGGAGCTCAGCCCCGGACAGCGAATAGCGCAGTCGGCTTGACCTGGAAAGATGAAACATTGTTTAGTTTTTTAAGTGATTCGTTTACCTTTCCTACACTTTTCACTCCTGACCCCGTGCCCCTACTGGACATCTGTGAAATAAAGAGCTTTATGACTCATCGGATTCCTGCTGCACCCCCCCCCCACCCCTCGATGTGTCACCTTCATGTAGGAGACGTAGGTCGTCCACAGGTAGGTGATGAAGATGGCCACGGCTTGCCACCAGTGGTAGAGCGTGAAGATGAAGTCCTGCCGATCCTTGTCTTCGTACAGCATCCCCAGCAGGACTTACGACACGCACGTCACACGCACGTCACACACACACGTGACACGCCCGTTACACTGGCACACACGACACGTGAAACATTACGCAAACGTTACACTGCCACACACGTTACAAGCTACGTGCTCATTCACACGCACATTACACGCACGAATTATGAACAAACACAGTAACGAACACAATTATTTATTTCCCTCCCCGCCCTCCCACAACCGAGCACAATTGTGCTCCAGTTGTGCTCTTTGTTGTGATTAACTTTTTTGTTGCCGTTTGTGCTTCTTTTGTTTCCGTGCCATTTGATTTGCTTATTCATTTTTTGTTTCAGAGGGATTTTCATTAACTCGGTAGTCGCTGTCTGGACAGATAGATGTTGGCCCTTACATGTGATTAACGTGCAGCGTCGCGGGATGCCAATTAGCACGAATGACGCTACATAAGTCGCCTTGCGATTAAGCGATTTTGAAATAGCGCGTTAAATACATTTACACTTATTCTCGTTATGCGCGCACTCTTATTGAAATAACGCGCTCCAGCGCGTTGACCACAGAGTGTATGGAACGTGCTGCGAGCTCATCGTTAGTCAGGCGGCGAAGTTCAGTAGCGATGCCTGAGGTGCGGTACGGCAACCTCAAGCGCGGCCAGCATCAGCATCTTTTTAAGATCTTGTCCGCGTGAACTTTGTGTCGTGCACGCTTTCGCCTACCAATAAGCATCTCACTACGTGTTAAAAATATTTTTGCTTTACTTCATGTTTTTCTTTAAATAGCCTAAATATCCTATTTAATTACATGTGTGGTGTAGTGAAAAACGCGGTTGCGCACAGTTGACCGAGGCCAGCTGAGGGCAAGCAGGTGCGCGTCTGCTAACATTGGGTTGCACGAATAAACCTCCACCTAATTAAGGGGCTAAGCGGGTGCAAACCGCGTCGACCGGTTGTGCACTGACACCGGAGGTGTTGCCAAGGGAGAGGGAGATATGGGTTGATTAATGGGCTGACAGGCGCCAGCCTGGCGAGGCTTAAAGAGGCACACGAGAGCTCTCGGATAATTGGCCGTAGGATAATTGGACGTGTGTGTACGGAGCAGAGTTAGTTGTTGACGGGGACAAGAGTGAAGACATCTCGCCGCTGCTGCTCAAGCCGTCAACGGACCTCAACCCTCGCGAGTCGCCGGGCGGGTGATGGTTGATCCCCTGGCCCGGGACAGACGAGTGAGTGGGTCTCAGGGAGCGTAGGCGAGGGCAGCGGTGGAGTGTGAGAAGCCTCTGTGTGGAGAAGCTGCTGGGGCGCTGTGTGCAAGCCTCTGTGTGGTGAAGAAGCTATGTACTGAGACGCTGTGTGCAAGCCTCTATGTGGTGAAGAAGCTACGTACTGATACGCTGTGTGCGAAGCCTCTGTGTGGAGAAACTGCTGGGGTGCTGTGTGCAAGCCTCTGTGTGGTGAAGAAGCTATGTACTGAGACGCTGTGTGCAAGCCTCTGTGTGCAAGCCTCTGTGTGTGAAGACGCAGAGGGCAGGATAGGTGAGGTGTAGCGTAGAGACGAGTGTAAGAAGTTAGGTCGCAGTGACCGTGTAGATAGTTCTAGGAGTGCCTACAACTGGTGCAAGAATAGGTTCATAAAGTGTAAGCAGGTGACTTGTTATAACGTGTCCGTCTGAGTGATTTTACACTACACTTGTATGGTAGCATTAAAAATATAATATGTAACTGTAACCAGTAAAATATGTAGACGAGATTCGACCGCGTGCTCTCCCTAACCCCAACCATTTCCTTTGTTTCTTATGTGAAAATTATGTTTCGTTTACGTAATTCTGAGTTACGCGCCGTTTTTTTCAGGAACCCAACCCCCGCGTAAAACGAGAGGTAGCCGTATCTCCGCCGGCCAGCCAGCCGGCCCCTCCCCCCCCCCCACACTCACTGCTGAGGCCCGTCTTGTTGAGGCCGCTGCCCACCCCCCAGAGCACGGCGACGGTGTAGACGAAGTACCGCTGCGAGAGGTCGCGCGGGCTCGGCGCCCACGCGTACAGCGCCACGATGAGCACCAGGTGCAGCGCCGCCCCGGCGTACAGGCACGTGCAGCGCGGCGCACGCAGCTGCCCCAGCGACAGCAGGCTGCCCAGGCCCGCCGCCACGCCGTACGCCATCAGAATGGTGCCCATCGACTCCAGCCCGAGCGAGCACACGCCGTACGACTGCACGGGCATCATAGGGATGGTGGGGGAGGGCACCGGGTCGGGGGTTGAAATTGGAGGGGGAAAAAAACAATGGTTTGCATTTTGCAGTGTTGTTCGGTGTTCTAGTTTGGCTGATAAAAAACTATGCTATCGTGATTCATGCTCGGTTTTTTTTCCGGATAAACCTGTCAATGTTGTTCCCCCCAAACGTTATCCCGACCGTAGCTCCCGCCCAGCGGCCCAAGCAGCTATGGCAGAGCTACCTCCGACGACATCGCTCCAAGTGAGGCCCTTTCACACCGCAGAAGGGCAGCGCATTCCCACTTGCCTATGGGGGGGGTTGTGCAGTCATTGGCGAGCAGGCTGAGACCGTCCACTTACAGTTTGAGAAGCCAGTTTCATCGTGGGGAACTGCCTGGATTTCAAACCAGGATCTCAGCAGTACTAGCTCAGGTCTCTGAAGACCTCGTACAATCATAATGCCACTTTGTAGTGTGCCACCGCCCTGCCGTGCAGCATTCTTTCATCGCTCTCGTAGAGAGAGAGCGATTCGGAGGTTCGAGGAGGAACCACAGACGAGCGGAAAAAGCAGCCAGGCAGTGAGCCGCCACCGAATTCCCTCCCAAGCTCTGCCGTCCTCTACATATTTAAGGCGTTACCAGCCAATTCATGAGAATGTGTGCGTGGGAAAAAGCCGCAGCACCGGGAGAAAACCTACGCCTGCAAGGGTCGCATCACTCACATACAGAGAGAAGAACAGGTGGGAGTCCACATTTTCTCGAACTGCATTCTCACAACAAGCAAGGCCACGGGGCACCTCCTCGACAACCCACAGGAAAGGGAGTTCGACAGCGTTCACGTGGTGATCCACCAACCCTCGCTGCCTCCACTTCGCCAGCAGATCAGAGGCCTCTGAGCCGCCCGGCCGTTATTGAATTTCTCGGCACGGCGACGGTTGTCCCACCCTCACCAGGGTGAAGCCCGTGCACACGAAGAGGATCTCGAAGCCGCTGTAGATGAAGAAGGGCAGCAGCAGGCGCAGGCGGTAGTCGCGCATGTGCTTGAACGGCAGCTGGAAGATGTTCCCCCAGCCGATGCTGCGCAGGTCGATCTCCTCGGTGGGCCGGTACGCGGCACCACACAGCAGCAGCATCTGAGCGCGAGCACCGGCGTGAAAAGTAAACAGTGAAACCTTGGATTGCGAGTAACTTTGTCTGCGACTGTTTTGCAAGACGAGCAAAAATTTGCAATTAATTTTTATTTGATAAACGAGCTAGGTCTTGCAATACGAGTAGCACGTGTACACGCTTTGTCTGCCGAGCGTCACGTGATCACAACTGATATACGAGTGCTTTGGATTACAAACACGTTTCCGGAACGAATTATGCTCGCAATCCAAGGTTTTACTGTACTCATTTTTAGTTTTACGCACTCCACCATCTACCACAAGGGGGAGATTTGCTTACTTCACATATCTGTACCTCAACATAAACAAAATTAAACAGTATACCTTTTTTTTTTACACATCCCAAGCGGACAATTCTCCTCCTTCATATATATAAATCCCTTAACATAAAAATATATACATCAGAAAGTATACATATTTCTATTTTTTGTTTACACATCCGAACATCTAAATGGCCTTTTTGGGAAGTGCATCCTATAAAGCAGTACTGGTTCAACACAGTCAGGTTTACTTTTACAAATGCTGGTGATCTGTCAGATATTCTCTAGGCAAGAGGCCCTTTCTCTATTAGATACGGGTCCTACTTTAACGCAAAAGTATATAATGCACAACGCTTAATAATAATTATGGAGAATGTCACAAAATAAATCATAGGCGGTGGCATTGCCTGCTTATTTACTTTGCTACTTATATTTCTCCACAGCAACGCTAATGAGTGTTTAGTGTGAATGGGTTAGGCGTGGGAACACCGCCGCACATGCCGTCTGTCTACGTTTGATGCCGGAAGCAAGTCCGCTCAGCTGCTGCGCAGCAGAAAACCATTCTTGCTCCGGGGTGCCAAACTCCCAAGGTACGATGTCCAACGTTCCGCTTCACATGCCAAGGAAGCTCCCAGCACATGGAGCCGAACAACACGCAGTCCGAACCGCAGACCCCGCCGAGTTCTGTGCGGCACCGCCACAGACTGCTCGCATCCACGTGTTTCCGAAACACCCATACCCAGCAAACGTGCAACGTTGGACACCAACGTTGGCATGTGGCTGGAACCGTCACATTTTTCTATGTCCGTGTCACTATCCACAGGGATCAGGTTAAGTGTATCGTCCCCCGTTATACTTTGGCAACATGGACTTGAAGAAATAGTTTTTACCGAGGTACAAAGCCTATTTCTACCCAGGTGAAAGGGGGCGGTTGAGTGACGTGGGGGGGCAGGGAGGGTGCTACCATCATCATGGCGAGGAAGGCGACGGCCATGAGCACGCTCTCCACGATGATGAGGTGCATGCTCTTGGGGAGACGCTCCAGCACCGTGTTGTTGAAGCCATCGATCGTTCCCCTCTCTCTCGTACCTGCGCACGCATGCAAGCACACAAACGAAGATCCCCCATGTGACCTTCACGCCGTTGGGTCAAGTGCAGTTTGTGAGCCTACCGTTGAAGGCCGACACGGCGGCGCGCGAGGGGGTGGTGTGTCTCGCACCAATAGGCCGGCTGACCGGCCGGCCGCCTTTGTCTCCCCAAAATATGATATTCGCACACCGCACCGGGGCCTCATTTATTGAACACATGCATGCACACAAACACCAAAAAACGAAGACAAAGTTACCCCATGTAGCCCTTAAGTTATCGGTTAACTCTCTTAAATCTCTCCTGTTGGGCCAATGGGAGGAGGGATGGCTGCCGTTGTTGCCCCACCTCAGGAGGCCCTCATTTAATGCTGGATCAACTTAGGGGAGGCCCAGGGACCTGCTCACATAGTCTCCATTGTCGTTAAACATGGCTGCGAAAAATGAACTCCGATGACTGGATTTCTAGCACAGTGGTTAAAGCAGAGTGGTTAAAGCACTGCACTATCACACAAATACACACACACGTCAGCATGAGCATACCCCACACACACATAAGCAGAGGTTCCTCTCTTTAGTTTCCTGTGTCTGGTGTGTTTCGCTTTCGTGGCCCGAACCGAGCACTATGCCGGATAAAAGCAGCTTCTTTTCCTAAGATTTTGTCAAAGTCTGGGGCACGTGTTAATCTCGAGCAATACCGACCGGCAAGCGAGTCGAGTCTGTGTCCCCTTTTAAATCCCTGTGCTCACAAACGCCCCCCCCGGCCCCCTTCATGAATACGTCCCCCACTGTACGCACAAAGCGAATCCACAGAGACACGTGCTAAAGCGGCACGCCGCAAGACTTCCCTGCCGAAGCCACTCCCGACTCATTTTGAATGTCACGTCGGCCAGGCTGGAGGCAGACGGAGCTCAATAGCCACCGGCAATTTGTATCGCCCGCACCGCCCCCCCCCGATGGTTTATATTAAACCCAGCTCAGAGCAGCCACTTGCGCCGGACCACAATTCCCAGCTGCGTCTCCTAACGGATTAAAATAACATCCATCTTTTTTCTCTCTCTCTCTCTCAATCGCATTAGCTTTCATTTGGGATTTTTCTGCTCTCATTCAAATTTCACGTGGGGTAAAACGACGCAACGCATGACATTGTCACAAGGGGTGAGCACACAAATACTTTGGGCTTCTCGGAGGCAATTTCACCGCAAAGCCGGAGACCACATGTTTATCCTATAAACATGCCAGTGCTGGGCTAAAATTGGCATCTTTTGTGGATCTCGTGGGCTTCACCCGGGCTAGAGACTCATTCGAGTCAATGCGCGAAACGCGTTCTGACTGAGAAAAGCCACGATTTAACCGCAGCTGGTTGCCAGCTTCCCCATTGCGCTGCCTCCCATAACTGAGAATTTCCTCGTAGCTTTGCAGCTGGGCCTGCACAGCCGAGGGAGCCTGCAGGAATACGGGTTTCAAGTTTCTAAGTTGATTTTGCATAACCAGGCGAGCACTCAAGAGAACAGGATGAGCCTCATTTGCAAGAGAGAGCCGGCGGAATTCGTCTGCCCAGTGGCGGGGGCAATTACTGCTGTGTACAGTCCCGACTGAGTAATTTGTAAGTGAGCGGACGACGTTGTTCACCAACGCCGTGCTCAATCTCGCGCTCAGAAGTAAACATCCGCGTCCTGACGAGTGCGGTGAGAGCAACGCGAGGCTTTAGATCAATGCGTCCATTACCGTGGGATGGAGACTGCAGTGAGTGGTACGTTGCTGGGTGGCTCTGGAGGGGGGGGGGGCGCTATTACCACTTCAAAGCGGTCGATCAAGACTGTGGAAATCCTGGGGTTAGAATCGGCGGGTTTCAGCTGCCTATTATATTATTGAAGTGAACACATTCGTCAATAACACCACCTTGAAAAACAAGACGTGTATAATGGGCGACGTTTTGGGAAATGGCCCGTCTTCAGGGCACATAAGAGAGGCAAGTGTGTGCTGTGATGAAGGGCCACTGCCTGAAACGTCACCTATTATATTACTCTATTTTCATAATATACTTTTTATTTTTCAAGGCCACAGTGTCATTGATGAATGCATGAGGATTTTTTGTTGTTAATTGAGCTTCGGTACCGCTGCCAACGCAGCATAAGCAGCAGCATCACCAAATAATGTGTCCATTATTCAAGTGTGTTCTCACGTTGCGACGAACTGATGGAATGTTACATTTTCACTTAATTCTGCCAATCCCAGCTCTGTATGAGAATGAAACACTGTGGATCGATTTGAGAATGCGACGACCGCTCGCCGGACGGGAAGACCGACTGAATTAGAGTCGCGCGACATCGTCCTCTGGGGTCATCTGACACAAGGTGATGCACCGCTCACCGCAGCCGAGTTCCACGAATACATTTGTTCATCTCTTGACGTGACGTCGATGGCGCACGTGAACGTTTGAAGATTTTTTTTTTGTTTGTTAAATGTCGATAGTTATACTGAACTCTAAATCAATTCGCAAAATGTCTCTCCTCGTGGCCATTCAACTCGGAATGGGGTATACTCTTAGGTTTTTTTCGGTAAAGTCACGTAGGTAAAAAATAAAAATCTAATTAATAAAAGTAATAATAGAAATAAAATAATAATTATTACTTTTATTCATTTAAATTTTATTTTTTACCTACGTGACTTTACCGAAAAAAAAAACCTATGAGTATGAATCCTTGCAGTCACGAAAGCTTCAAATCTAGAATCGCAATGGGGCACACACAAGCGCGCGTTTGTTTGTCGGCGCCCACGTTCATCACGTTCACCGTACGGCTGAGCAGCAGGCTAATGGCCGTCTCCGTCTGCAGGGCCTACCGCAAACCTTGACGTTGTAGAGGGTGTGGTTGTAATTGTTGAGGTGTTGCTTGATGAAGAACTCAAAAGGCATCTGGGCCCACACGAAGCTCAACTGTTGAGGGGAAAGAAAAAAAGGGAACGGGAAACGGTGGATGCAGACTCAAACTAGGGATGAATGATTAATCGATTTGAAATCGAAATTTGAAACAATGCGATTTTTGCGATTTGAAAAGTCCTATTACTTTCTTATTGGAATTGTATTATTTATTATTATATATATATAACATAGAACAATTGTTCTATGTTTGATAAATACATGTTGGAAGCAATTCATATCTTTTAAGTTCTCATCCTTGCATTACAATATATAGAGCAGTTCATATTTTGATGGTATCATGTGGTAATGCTCCATCACATGTTATAAATCTATTCCACAGTGAATATTGAACTGAAGCTTGACTTTAAAAAATTAAATCGCAAATCAAATCGCAATCGCAATATCTGTCAGAAAAATCGCAATTACATATTTTCCCCAAATCGCTCAGCCCTAACTCAAATACGAGCGACGCAATCGAGCGTGTGTGCGTGTGTGTGTGCACGGGCACACATCTGTTAGCGCGCTGCACTATGAACCCAGCGACCCAAGTTCGATTCCCGCTCATGTTCAACACCAGTCACGAATAACTAAAGCGGTCCTGAAACTCCCGAGGTCAATTCATCCTCAAATGAGTACCTGACGCGGTGTGTAAACATCACCACGAGTGAGACAAAGGCGGTCGGGCGTGGTGCTGGCCACCCACCCCTTCGTGTGCCGTGCCGGCCTTCATAGGTGCTCGCTAACAGCACTTGCCCCAACAGTCTGTTGAGGCTATACGGGGGATCTTTGTCTTTGTGTGTGCACATGCACGCACATTTGTGGGAAGCGACAGAAGTGGTCAGCGGCATCAAGCGTGCTGCGTCGCTAGGAACCCGTCGGCCCGAGTTCAATTCCTGGTCACGACCGATAACAGTGGCGAATATCTGAACTGGTCGTGGGCCTCCGCTATTTCGACTCAGCCTTCAATTAGGACCCGGTAAGCTGTGTAAACATCAGCACTGGGGAGACAAGTGCACGGTATCGAATCAGAATTGTGGCCGTGTAATTTAAGACCGCGGCAGAATAGTGGGAGAACTATATCTCGCTGTCACCCTCGTTAGGAATCGTCAGCGCAGCAATGCTGCGGCCTTGCGCCTCGGGGGTCTTGGTGTGGACAAGGCCTCCCTGGCCGCTGTGGCGACAGTGGCACCGTGTGAGGGCGACGGGAAACCAAACTGTTAACGTCTTTTGTGACGTAACAATAAACTTGGACGAGGGACAATCGGACAGGCGCCGCACCATCGGCACGTCAGCACAAATCTCCCCGGCGCGCCAAACGACCGCGGACTCACCATGAAACAGGAGTAGAAGATGGCTTGGAAGATGATGATGTACCTGTGGCAGACTCCCTTCACCTGCCTATCCTCCTCCTCCTGCTGCTCCTTGTAGTTTGTGTACTCGTGGTATTTCTGGGCCATCCTGGGACAGGTGGCAGCAACAACAAACAAAAACGACAACAAATCAAAAAACGTTTCTGGCCCCCCATCCTTTTAATTCAATGGTTCGGAATGCAAGGCCTCCGCAGATTTGTCTCCTTGCTGGCGACGGAAACATGGGCATGGCTGCTGCTTTTTTTTTTCTCACTGACAGAAATGGGACGGGATGGGAAATGCACCCTGATGGATTTGATTGGACACTTTGAATTTTCCGAGAAGGGTTTGGTGTGAAAATTTGGTGGAAAAAAGGGCACCGGTCTGAAAATTCTGCCATGGAATTTTCCACTTTCGGGAAGTGGAGCGGCGTTGCCGGTGCCACGAGGGGCGCATGCTGTTGGGCCTCACCGCGTGATGTAGTTCCCCAGCGATGCCCAGAGCGGCACGATGACGGAGCCGATGGCCACCGCGGCCGGCACCAGCGTGTACTTCCGCTCCCAGTAGTTGGTGGAGACGAAGAGGCCATAGATGCCCGTGGCCAGGAACATCACCCACTTGGTGCCGAAGAACCTGCGAGGGGACGTCGCGAGGGACAACGTGAGGGGCAGTACAAGGGGCGACATGAGGGGCGACATGAGGAGCGACGTGGGTAGCAAATTGAGGCGTGATGTGTGACGGGGGGGGGCAATAAGAATCGAGACGCAAGGGGTGAGGTGAGAGGTGATGTGAAGGGCAACACGAGGGGTGAGACAAGGGCCTGGGCGAGGGCAGCTCACTCCAGTCACGCAGGAACCCAGGACAATAACCTCTTCTAAGGTGCATTACTTGAATGGCGAGTGTCAACAGTCACTTTCACTTACCTGAGAGTGTTTACAGAGCCACATTACCGAATTAGCATCCCAAGCCTCATTTTCTTTTTATTCTCCCACGGCACTAAAGGCATTTGAATGCAACGTTGCGTTTGCGACACATTTTACAATGGTACATTCTTCACCTCAAATAAATTCATATTTTAGAGCGCTGGATGAAGAACTCCCCATGCTGTCGCTGTCTTCAGGGTTGTTTTGAAAATACTTCACCATGCCGGTCATCATGGGTTGGATAATAAAAGAGGGAACACAAAGACCGATTCACATTATCATTCAGAAGTGGTGTACGCCATGGCCATGGCTGGGAATCGAACTCGGGTCACTCGGCTCTTGGTGCAGTGCTCTAGCACTGCACCAAGTATACCATCTCCCCTTTTGTTATGCTCCCATTTTTACTTCCTCGTACCGTTTCCCATTTTGGCCGCCGCCACCACCGTCGTGTATCTCTGGCCTTACGTTCTGCAATCGGGTTTTTTCTGTTGCCTCGTTTGAAAAACCGTGAATGGAATAGTTTTTTTTACGCGGAGGCGAAACGCTGCGAGCACCTGATGAGCATGGGCGTGTAGCAGAGCCCCACAAGTGGCGTGATGTTGATGCCCATGAGGATCTTCTCGTCGATGTCCTGCAGCCCCACGTTGCTGTACTTGACGTCGCGGTACGTGCTGTCGTAATGGAGGATGAACTGCATCTGGATCAGGCCTGCACGCGCGGGCAGGCGACGGGGGGGTCAATCGCAGGGGTCGAGCCAAGGTCAGAATTACAGGGCTTCCAATACGTAGGAGAAAAAATACTCAACGTGTGTCAAGAACACTATGGCCTTAAAAATAAAAAATAATGTATATAATGGGCGACGTTTCAGGCATTGGCCCTTCTTTATAGCACAACATTCTAGAGGCCAGAGGGGTAGAGTGGATATGCACTGAGGACTGCACTAAACACCACGGGGACTGATAAGATTTACATTTGGGAAAAAAATGTGATGACCAGTTGTTAAATTGCCATGTGAATAGAGGTAACTAATCGTAGCTATTGAGTAAAAGACAACCCCTGTCAATAGTCACAAAGTCTTCCTAAACAACCTTATTTAAATTGAAAGTAAAATTATAAAATGTTGCTGGCACATTGCATTGTGGGACAATCTTGTGCTGAGGACGAGGCACAATCCACTTTGCAGCACACTCAAGTTATCCTGAAATTCCAAACCACACAGGCCTTCAATATAGGCCAGATTTCGCCCAGATTCAAGCACAGGATTGTCAGCGGTGTTGGATCAGTGTCTCGGACACGACCATTATGAGCCTCCTGAGTCACACGGGTACTTTGGTGAGGCCCAGCTTGCGTACACAGCGTTGAGTGTTGGGAGTGGGACCGTGGCGCCGCTATGCGCGGGCCTACCCAGGTAGACGGAGTAGGTGAGCATCGCGCCCACGCTTGCCGAGATCACGTTCTTGATGACGCCCAGTCGCTTGCGACGGAAGTACTTCCTCTCCTCCTCCTCCTCGTTATAATTGGGGTCGATGCTGTTGAGGAGGTCGTCGTCTGGAAGGGCCTGCGGGACGCGTATACAGACACAGCGTCCCCCTGTTACAGCCTTTGTAGCACACGTGAGGAACTTGTTTTTAGTTTACTGAGGACCGAACAGAACTTTCAAATCACTTTGGCGGAGAAAGGGCAACGCATTAACACCCACTCCGTCACTTCTGTTACTACAAAAAGCCCTTGTAGTTACAGAAGTGGCTGACCACACTAAGTTGTTATTTCCAGGTCGAAAATATATTTCCCCCTCTAGAACCCGATTAGTGCGGTGAAGATGTTTGCGGCGACGGATAAACATTGTTTTCTGGCCGTTTCGAAGTGGTAGACCTCATGTAGCTGTATGAATTCAAGTTGTGAGCTTTACTCACCCCACAGGCCATATGTTCGACATCCCTGCTGTATAATAAACAGCGGGTCGATGATGGTAGTGAGCACCTATTAAGGCCTGCAAGGCACATGAGGGAGTCTTGTGGCCAGCACAATGCCCAGCCTTCATAACAAGCCTTGTGCTCATTTAACACTCAGATAACATTGGGCAGGCCCAGGTCTCGTGTACATATCGTTTTCGCCACTGATGTTAGCCATGGCTGAGAAATTTATTCGGGTTGACAAATTCATAGAACAGTGAGTTAACCACTACACCACCACTCCCAGACGAAAGTGATCTGCCTTTGTGCCATGTAGAAGGACCATTGCCTGTAACGTCACCGATTATGTTTTTTCTTTTGAGGGCCACAGTGTTCATGATGACCGAGTCTCACATTTTGGAAAACAACATTCGTTGCATAGAAATTTCACTTGTCGCTTTAATCTTATAACATTAAATACATCTAAAATTAAATACTTATAATGCATCCCGAATTATGAAATGTACATTATTTATCTTTAACATGAATAGACAATCGACGGCTCTCAATTTGTGTTTTTGGGGGGTGCAACGGCCCCCTTTTACCCCTCCGCCTCCCTCAACTTTTCGTGCAGCATTCTGGGTAATTGTTTTGGTCATGAGGGGCAGGTTCACTGTGTTGTTTACTTTAAACACTGTAATGTGCAGCCGGTTCTTCCGGTTCACAAGTGTCCTATTTTTAACACATCTGGGACATCATCTCATGCAGCAGTGGGTGCAGAACAGAGGGCTGTAAACTATTTTGAATTACCAATCCGCACATTAAATATTTCAACGCACCATACCCATATGGCATTATTGCATGATCTGGTTACCGTTAATGCTGTAAGGTCATGTCCCTTGTGATTGCTTTCAAGTTCCGGTGTATGCCTGGCAGGCTGTGTCTGCATCAGGTGTTGAGAGTGTAAATTGACACTTTACGGACGCAATTACATGGCTGACCTACCCCAATTTACTTAAGCATATCCCCAACACTCTGGTAGTGCTATAAATATGAACGTGGCTCTGGTCACCTTCACGGTCAACTACGTGGTCAACTGCGTGGTCAACTTCACGGCCAACCACGTGGTCAACTGTGTGGTCAACTTCCTGGTCAACTGCACGGCCAACTGCAAGGTTAGCTTTGGATCAAAGGCAACGAAGGAGACAAGGAAGAAAGAGGCAACGTGGAGAGGATGGTGTGAATGACGATGGCAACAGAGGTACAGTGGACGAAGGTGTTGATGGAATGTGAATGGTGGTTTGGCTGTAATGTAACTAATGATGTAGATGGGATGTGCATGATGATGTAGGTCTTCAGTAGAACGATGATGATGATGATTTAGATGGGATGGGAATGTATGTAGAGGATAATGATATACAGTAAAACCTTGGATTGCGAGTAACTTGGTCTGCGAGTGTTTTGCAAGATGAGCAATTTTTTTAAATAAATATTAATTTGATAAACGAGCGAGGTCTTGCAATACGAGTAGTACGTATACGCTTTGTCTGCCGCGCGTCACGTGATCACAACTGATATACGAGTGCTTTGATATACGAGTGCTTTGGATTACAAACACGTTTCCGGAATGAATTATGCTCGCAATCCAAGGTTTTACTGTAGATAGTATTTGTTCATGTAAATTATTGTGTATATTGTATGTGCTCATGATAATAATGATATAGTTGGGTTGTGAATGAAGATGGTGACGAGATGTTAATGATGATATCGATGGGCTGTGATCATCAGAATGGTGATGTTGTAGTCTGGTGTCGAATGATGATGGCGATGCGATGTGGAGTCACCGTGGGATGATGCTGCTGCTGCTGATCGTCAACTCCGTGCTGATGATGATGTTGCATCAAGTTCTCTCGGACAACCTCGCCATTGATCGACGCGATGTGATCGACGTCCAACAGGTAATCCGGCTCTGCCACCGCCATCACGGGATGTGTTGTGATGGGGGCCACGCGATCTGGAATCGAACCATCACGCGGTGAGTTCGGAGTACAACAACAACAGTCGCCATTCGCCACCGAGTGGCAGTTCCGTCACCGCAGCGCTTGTGCCAGGCTGGGTGCACCTTGAGGCCACGTGAAGTGTAGAAGGCTCCCTGCTGACATGTCACCGGACAGACCCAGGTTTTATGGGTTAACCGCAAATACAAAGCTCCCCCGTATAGCCTAAACAGACTTGGGGCAAGTGCTGTTAGCGTGGGTGGCCAACACCACGCACGGCCGCCTTTGTCTCCCTAGTAGCGATGTTTACGCACCACACCAGGTACGCATTTGAAGCTGAGTCGACCTAGGGGAGGTCTGATTTTGTCTGTAATAAGGCATGTGAGTGTGTGCATGCACATATCAAGCAAGCATCAGCATGCACGATCACAGAGACAGTAGCATGATAAGTAGCAATGATCAAAATTAATACATAAAACCGTTTTTGTTTAGTAACATAATTGTTGTCTGCTTGTTTCTCCCTTGTGATGGGACTCTGTAGGATGAACGTTGAGATTTATAAGAGGCACGGGGGTGACCAATACGGTCTGAATTGGCTCTGATCCGGGGTTGACAGGTATGTGTGTACTGAATGTGGTGTGCCGGGTGTGGAAATATATTTTTTTCTGGGTGGCTGAGCCGGACAAAGACCGGGAATAAATTAGGAGCCCCCCTACCAGCTCCTACCAAGGGTGTAGCAGAGGAGGAGGACTCGAAAGTGAAACTGCGTCCGATCCCATAGTACCCATACCCATCGTGCCTGTCAATGTACAACTCTTATACACACGCGGAGGAAATGATTGACAGCACAAGAACAACACCTGCTACTGCAGCGGTGACAGCTGTCTGTGAGTGATCAACACGAGAGAGAGAGGGGGGGCATTGTCGTGCGTAGCAGCTGCGAGACACATTGCAAGCAGTAGTACAGGGTGGTCCAGATATCTTGTGACCCCCCCCCCCTATTCTCAAAAACTTTATATATTGCTTTTAAAGTCAGGTTTATTGCAAACATAAATCGATATGCAAAGGGTAAACATGTTAGGGGTAAATTAATCGGGAGAGGGGGGGGTCACAAAACATGTGGACCACGTCGTACTGCAAGTTTTTGGTGCGATGATGATGTGATGTGTTCCGAGTAAAATAAACAATCGGGAAATGTGAACCCTTTACCTGTCAGAAGACGTCTGGCTGCCCTTGCTCTGTGCCACCGGTCAGCTGGGATGATGGAGGGTGGTTGTTGATGATGATGATGCCTCTTGGATAATAAAAATTGTCTGTGGAACAAGTGGCGAGCCAAGTCGGGGCATGGGGAGAGAAGTTTATTTCACTTCCTTACTTTGACGACACAGGAAACGTGGGCGAGATACTGTACATGTGCACACAGACACGCAGAGACCGCGCACAAAGCACGCACACACAGACACACACACAGCATACACACACAGACACGCAGAGACCGCGCACAAAGCACGCACACACAGACACACACACAGACACGCAGAGATCGCGCACAAAGCACGCACACACACACACAGCACACACACACACAGCACACACACAGAGACACGCACACACACACACACAGCACGCACAGCACACACACAGAGACACGCACACACATACATAGCACACACACATAGCACACACACAGCACGCACACAGACACACAGCCCACACACACACAGTTCTCACACACACAGCACACACAGCACGCACACACACACAGCACACACACAGCACACACAGCCCTCACACACACACAGCACGCACACAAAGCACACACACAGCCCTCACACACAGCACACACACACAGCCCTCACGCACACACACAGCACACACACACACAGCCCACACACATCACACACACAGCACGCACACACAGCACGCACACACACACAGCCCTCACACACACAGCACGCACACACACAGCCCACACACACACACAGACACGCACACAGCACGCACACACACACAGCCCTCACACACATCACGCACACACACGCACACAGCACACACACACAGCCCTCACACACACATCACGCACACACACATCACACAGCCCTCACATACACACAGCCCTCACACACACAGCACGCACACAAACACATTAAATCTAGAGTTGAAGCTTTCGTGACAGCAAGGTTCTTTCGGTAAAGTCACTATATAAGGTACAGATATTTTGCTGTGACGGTTTCACCTGAAGACGGAGGCTTGTGTTGCCTCCGAAACGTCGTGATTTTTATTGTTTTATTTTTATTAATTTTTATTTATTTTTTTACCTACGTGACTTTACCGAAAGAACTAAGAGTACAAACACATTACCTTGCAATGTTGCAGCATGGCCAATATCCCGGGTCCTGTAAGCCGTCAACTCAACAGGGCATGCAAATAGCCAGGCGTATTTACAGCGTCGCAAGGAACTCGTCGTGCTGTATGTATTGTATAGCCAATATCCAGGTGATGTTAGGCGTAGCCAGGTGTCATTACGCTTGCCGTGTGCATAATAGCCAAGTCCTTGCTGATGAACTCACGCTGACGTAGGATATGGACAGTAGCCAGATCATATACAGCATTGTGAGCAATCATTCGTGCTGAATGTATTGCATAGCCAACATTCAGGTCACATTAACAGCATAGCCTGTGGACTGCAGGTCTTAGATGTGCTCTCTGAATAGCATAGCCAATGGACAGGTCATACACAGCATGCAGTCAACATCTAGTTTTCAAGTTCATTTATTTGGTATAGCCCTGCGAGCCATTCGGCTCTTGAATCGGGTGCAACCGCAACAAAACAAAAAACATGAACAAGAAAACATCTTAAAGTGACTATGTTCAAACAGAAAGTCCAAGAAAAGAGCAAAATATTGCAGAAAAAGCACCGTACACCACCGCTGTGTGCAAAAATCCCAGTGGGATGCAAGTCAAACAACAACCACAAGCCAACTTAGACTAAGGCCATCAATCTAACTCCGTACTACAACAAACAAACATGTCCAAAACGAGTTTCATTGTTTTCATGGCTTTATTTTGGTGATTTCGAAAAGTTTATTGGTTTAGCCATGTTTGTTTGTTGTAGTACGGAGAAAGACTGATGGCCTTAATCTAAGTTGTCTTGTGGTTGTTGTTGTTGTTTGACTTGCATCCCACTGAGATTTTTGCACACAGTGTTGGTGTACGGTGCTTTTTCTGCAATATTTTTCTGTCTTTTCTTGGATTTTCTGTTTGCACTTAGTCACATATTCACTTTAAGATGTTTTCTTGTTCGTGTTTTTGTTTTTTGTTTGTTGCGGTGGCACCCGATTCAAGAGCCGAATGGCTCACAGGGCTGTACCTAATAAATGAACTTGAACTTACTGTGTCTAGGTATGCTGTCTGTGCGGCACAGCCTCTAAGCAGCAGGTCTTCATGCCCCGGTCTACGCTATGCCGCACGCTACTGGAATGCTGCTCCTGCTGCTGCTGCCCTTCGATGCTGGAGTTGGGGGTTGGTGGAGCAGGCGGGCTGCTGGCTGTGAGCTGTCACCTCTCGTTGTGGTCACACCCAGGTGGTGGTGGTGGTGGTGGGAAAACTTGTGACAAGTGGTGATGGTTGTGGAAAGTGGTGGTGGGAAAACTTGTGACAAGTGGTGATGGTTGTGGAAAGTGGTGGTGGTGGGAAAAACGTGTGACAAGTGGTGGTGGTGGTGGGAAAACTTGTGACAAGTGGTGGTGGTTGTGGAAAGTGGTGGTGGTGGTGGGAAAACTTGTGACAAGTGGTGGTTGTGGGAAAAACTTGTGACAAGTGGTGGTGGTTGTGGAAAGTGGTGGTGGGAAAACTTGTGACAAGTGGTGATGGTTGTGGGAAAAACTTGTGACAAGTGGTGGTGGTTGTGGAAAGTGGTGGTGGGAAAACTTGTGACAAGTGGTGATGGTTGTGGGAAAAACGTGTGACAAGTGGTGGTGGTTGTGGAAAGTGGTGGTGGGAAAACTTGTGACAAGTGGTGATGGTTGTGGGAAAAACGTGTGACAAGTGGTGGTGGTTGTGGAAAGTGGTGGTGGGAAAACTTGTGACAAGTGGTGATGGTTGTGGGAAAAACGTGTGACAAGTGGTGGTGGTTGTGGAAAGTGGTGGTGGGAAAACTTGTGACAAGTGGTGATGGTTGTGGGAAAAACGTGTGACAAGTGGTGGTGGTTGTGGAAAGTGGTGGTGGGAAAACTTGTGACAAGTGGTGATGGTTGTGGGAAAAACGTGTGACAAGTGGTGGTGGTTGTGGAAAGTGGTGGTGGGAAAACTTGTGACAAGTGGTGGTGGTTGTGGAAAGTGGTGGTGGTGGGAAAACTTGTGACAAGTGGTGGTGATTGTGGAAAGTGGTGGTTATTCGGCAAGTGGTGGTGGTTGTGGAAAGTGGTGGTTATTCGGCAAGTGGTGATGGTTGTGGAAAGTGGTGGTGGGAAAAACTTGTGACAAGTGGTGGTGATTGTGGAAAGTGGTGGTTATTCGGCAAGTGGTGGTGGTTGTGGAAAGTGGTGGTGGTTGTTGTTGTTGCGACAAGTTAGATTCCCGCTCACGGCCAACACCGGTGACGATTATCTGAACCGGTCCTGGGCCTCCCCTAGGTCGACTCAGCCTCAAATGAGTACCTGGTTCCGTGTAAAAAAAAATCGCCACTGGGGAGACAAAGGCGGTCGTGCGCGTTGCTGGCCACCTACCCCCTCGTGTGTCATCCCGGCCTTCATAGGTGCTCGCTAACAGCACTTGCCCCAACAGTTTATAAAGGCTATACGGGGCATCTTTGTCTTTGGTGGCGGTGTGCAGCTGTTTCCTTACCCCCCCCCCTTCCCTATCCACTGGTGTTAACCGTGGCCTTGCCACTTAAAATAACCCACGTGTCAACATGGCACAGATCTGCTGTCAATCCACTGCTGGATGAGCCCCCCCCCCCTTTGTTGTGCGGTTCGTCGGTGACTACGGTACATGCCCATACTCCACCACCATAGAGGTTGCAACATAGAAGTACAGAGCAACGATTAATGTTCTTGCACTGCGTGGTGGTCGCCCAACCAAACACATCAGCGTGCCTAACTTTGGGGCCGTCCATTAATGACGTCACGGGATTTTGGACGATTTTTGACCGCCCCCCCCCCCCATCGTCACACGGCGTCACAAAAAGTCAGACCCCCCCTCAAATATGACGTCACAAAGCTCTGCCCCCTCCCCCCCAAAAGAACTATTGTCATTGTAGTGCGTATTTAATGTGGCGCTGCACTCTGATGTTGTAGGATAAAACGTTGATTAAAACGTCTATTTAATTAAGTAGAACGTGTTGTCTATATTTATTTAAAGTTGCGCATTTTGATGTGACGTCACATTTCTCAAAAAGACCCCCCCCCCCTCGTCACACATCGTCACAAATGTCTGACCCCCCCCCCCCACCCTAGGTGCGTGACGTCATTTATGGACGGCCCCTTTCGACATCTCACACGAGATCGGGTGAATCCCAGATGATTGAATCTCAGATTTAAAACATTCTGTGAAACCACCCCGAACGATGCGACCCAATTTCGCCGTGTTGGAGAAGCTAAGCAGTTGTTGATGCAGACTTGGGAATTGGGACTATAACAGGCGATTGCCTGGGAATACAGTAGCACTGTGCTTTGTAAACTTGAGCTGCGAGGTGGCCAGGAAGATGGCAGTGCAACAATGGATTACTGAATTTATCTGTGCAGAGCTACTAATTAACCACCCTCCCGCCCCCGATTTCCCTACCCAATGCAAACACTCGTGCATGCAATTGAGCCCAGACGCAGGGTCCTCTTGCAAAAAGCATCGTTGTTTTTTCTTGCATACAAGACATTTATATATCCGTCCACGTTCTCCGTGGACCCAGGCCACACGGCCCTGTGTTTGCTATAATTGTCATTTTCATCTCAAGTGCCACAGGTATCTATTTGTACAAAAAACATGGCATCTCTTGCGGTCAACTGCGCCGCATCACAATTCCAAGTTCACGCAGTGCCGGATTATCCCAGTAGCACAAGTAGCTACATATGCCACGGGCCCCACACTTTCAAGGGCCCCGCGCTAAATGCGTTCAAGCTATCAATTCTGGTTGAGTGATTCTGCACTTGCTCTATTGCTATAGTAATATACTGCCTTAAATTTTTATCAACGACTGGATGTTTAAGGTTAGCGATGTCGTATTATCCGGCTGTATAGCAAATGAAAAATACAATTACTTTACTATGCAAAAAAAATGTATGTTTTTATATATTTTTTTTTAATTTAGGGCCCCTTTATAACATATGCTACAGGCCCCGCACTAGCTTAGTCAGGCACAGAGTCCACGCCTAAGGCTTTCGTCTTCTCC